CATTGTACATCAAGTGGCATAATGTGCACCTCTGTACTTTTCTACCCCTTCGGGGATAAAAGGCGTGATGTTATGTATGTTATGTATTTTTTACAATGTTAATAAGTATTATAGTTCTTTATAGAGTCTTGGTCCGTCCTTATTCATACAATACTAGCTTTTTGCGGCTTTGTCCGTGTGAGTTATCTATTTTTAGGTCAGTTTTACCTAGTAGATAAATCCAATTCCTTGTTCCTAGGTAATCGATTAAAAATTTCCATATTTTTCATTTCAGATGGGCCCTGGTCAAACTCAAATGGTGACAGGAATTGATCCACGTTACTTAGCGAACTATTCGGACAACCGCGCTCAATACATAGTTACAGGTAAAAAATGTATCTTAATCCCTATTAGGTTCTACTGGCTGTGCCTTAACTGTCTCTTCGAGTCTCCAAGCCAAAGGTCTCTTCTCTCATTGAGAAGGAATGTGTGTTTGAAGGAGAATGACGGATTCCAAATTAGTTTTTGAATTAGTTACATACCTACACCTAATGAATCGGCATCGGCCCTATTAGGCCCCATCTGTGGTGGTCTGATGGCTCTTTGAGGCGCGCGCGGAACGCGACGCGCCGTACGCTCGGGTCTGTTTCTGGTCGGACGGGGAGCCACCCATGCTCGCCGTCCGCAGGCCTGCGCTTACGGTGGCCGGAGATCGTCCCGCGGTTGCAATTATGATAGGAATTAAGATACTTCACAGAGAAATAACTTTTGTAGATGTATAGATATTATCTACGGTAAGTACTGAGTAATTGTCAGAAACATAAAATTACCTATCATCTAAGTTAAGATGTTTTCATGTCTGATTTATGGCGGCTGATAATCTTCAGGTACTTGGCACGCAATTTGATCGTTATGTAGACTTAAATCGGTACTTAGATTGCATGATTAGTTAGGGACTTACCTTGAAAAGTTTCGTAATAGATAACCTTAGAATCTTATTTTAATGGAGCTACATAAATAAAATTGTTTAAGGGGTTTCATAAAAAAAAAAAACTCTTTGTGTATTTTATTTTATTATAATATAATTTTTATTATAATAAAATAAAATATTTTTCTGTCCTAAATTGCCTAATAAGGTTTTTTTGAGGGGGAACAATGGGAAAACGTACAACGATTTTCCCCGCATTGGGTGACGCGAGAAAGACTGTTTGACTCTTACTGACTAAAAGCCAACCCGATCCTATCCTACTTCTGCTTTCAGTTGGAGCCCCAGTAACTCGTTAAGTCTTTCGCGGCTCCGTAAACCTAACTACGTAATTATGTAATTTAAATATGTTTTTTTGAATTGTGTAAGCTAGCTATCAATTATTTACCTATCTGTTCCAACAATGCGTCTTATGTTTTCCGAAGTTGTAGGCGATGATACACTGTCGTAAATTGTGTTAGGTGCTTAGGTTACATAAAACTAATATACCTGCCTGTTGCTAAGTTGCTGCCGGCTACGTGCCTATGATTACTATGGCCTACAGAGAAATGTAAATATCTAATTAAATCTTTAGCTGATAACATCTTTAAGTACCCAACCCTATGTTCTGCTTACTTATTCCCTACGTTAACCGTGGTAAAACGTGTCATCTGATCGCATTTAAACTTAAAAACTATGCTTACGTTACCATACTGGGTGTAAATGTGACGCCGCCCAAAAAATGCCTACAGGTGATAGTAAAAACAAGTTCTGTAATTTGTGTAATGCGTCCAGCGTGTCTAAAGTACAATATATTATTGTACAATATTGGAATATGTAGGTACAGCAGAGACATTGCAGATCACTTTTTTTTTAAAAGAGTAACGAATGGAGTTTCTTGCTCGTTCCTCTCCATTCGAATCTACATAATAACATAATTTAGAGCACCTAGCTTCACCTAGCTTCATTGACGGACTGACTGACAGACCTTATTAAATTTATTTTGCTTTTGTTGACGTTTCAAAAGTACCAAATTATGGTTGAATTTAAATAAATCTTTTGACTTCGACTTTTATTTTCAAATAAGTAAGGAATTAAATATTTCTTATAAGTAATAATAGTTGTATCTAATCAACTACTCAACGCTAATGTTGCATGAATAACATGAAAAAAAAACCTATTAAAATTGTAAAAACAATTTCTGTTTGTCAGCGGTTCGAAAGCATTTCGTTTATCTTCTGTACTAGCGGTTTGTTTATACTTACATAGTAGGTACATTTGTGTTCTAGTTTTGTATGTAATACGCTCCACTGTTTTATAGGTCAACAGATGCAAGTTGAACCAAGTGCAGCACCCCTCGATACCGGATTAGGAGCTAATTACTTAAACTCCAACTTTGGAGGAGCTGATAGGAACAAAGTTAAAACTTTCGTTCCACAGGTCTTAACACATATTAATAGTGGTGAGTCACTGATGTATCTACTGTTCATTTTTAAGTTTCAGGATTAGTTATATGTCTATTAATGTAAAATAGGTCTAGTAGATTATTTAGGTTCTCACTAAATCACGCTATAAGTCGCATGTATAGGTAAGTGACATAAAATGAGTCAACTTTCATCCACAGATAACAATTTTTTTTTAATTAATCGCACGTGTTATTTCTGAGAATTGTCGGAATTCTCACCCCCTATTACATGGGTCTTATAACATTGAACACTGCGAGTGTTACATTGTACAGTGGCATTAAGTGCCGTAATGTGCACCTCTGCCAACCCCGTCGGGGATAAAATGCGTATTGTTATGAAATTCTGAATTGTACAGTCTTAGGTATCTAGAGGTATATAAAACTTTAATTATTAATTTACCAGAAAAGAAGAAAAATGTAAGCCACCAGAATTACCATCAATTTCATTAGTCTTTTTCCAAAGCTAAAATTATAGGTATACTATATAGCGGACCCAACAGACGTTGTCCTGCATATCCACTTGAATGTATAAAAAATCATTCAAATTAGTTCAGCTGTTAAGGATAAATAACCTAAACATCGACTGCAGCGCCATCTGCCGGGCTGATTTGTGAATCTAAACCATTCCCAGATCTCTTTGAACACACACAAAAAATATCATCAAAACCGGTCCAGTCGTTTGAGAGAAGTTCAGTGACATATACACTCGCAGAAGAATTGTATTTATAAAGATGTTTTTTTTTGCATAGGACCATATACGGAACCACTGAAAAGTAAGACATTGTATGAGGGAACTCCGAAAACTTCGTTTCAAACCCAGCAGCATTCACAAAAAAACCTGCACCAGAATGCAATCAATGGTAAGATATTCTAAATAATTTTAATCTAAGTATCTGGGTTTCGTACTTTATCTAAGGGATTGATACTTTGACGATAAATTAAAGAAAAGCAAATTAAAAGTACCCTTAACCGACGAGCATGCATGAAAAGATTGATGACTATTATTGATGAAGCGAAAGAGGTTGTAGGAATCGTAGCAATTGGAGTTCCATAGTCTATTACCCCCATGGGAGACAGGCGTGAAGTTATGTATGTATGATGCTAATTTTTAAAGTAAAATATGTATACTTATTTAAACAACACTTACATGGTACACTTACAACCTTACCACTTATAATCACATCCAAATTAAATTAATTAGAGCATAAACTCTATTTGTTTCTCTACTTTTATGGGGAACTGGTAGCTATCAGTAAGATTGGTACCTACAAATGATGATATATTAAGTAAGGCAAATCTGAATATTGAATAAGTCCAATATCAACAGCACGGAACTTCAAACAAAACATGCACATAAAGTAAGAACCCACAAATTGTGCGCTGTCAAACATAAAAGTATTCTTGGTCGACCTGTGCTAAAGCCCCGTAACTCGGTCTAACAAGCTCATTACTCTGTATTTTCGAGAGAAGTAAAGTTCTGAAGGGAAACTTCGCGATACTTGGCAGGATACGCGTTTCAAGTTGTGCCCCCAATGGGTTGTGAGTTCAAAAAGTCTCCCTATCACCGTAAGAACGTGATTTAATTAAAGACGTGTACACATTTTGTCCCGTACATGATTTAAGGGACCATGAAATCATAGTACATAGTTTGATGATCAAAATTGGTTAGGTATGAGTTAATTTGTAGAAACATTATTTGCAGCAACACCCAAAAAATCTGCAGACGGAACTGAAGTCATCAAAAAAGAACCGCAGATTACGGCAGTTTCAAAAATGGACAGACTTAAGGTAAGTGTGTAGTTTAATATAATAAAGTTTCCACCTTTTCTTTTGTGGAGAAACCTTCAAAAGGCGCCTAGCTTTTTGGGGAGAAAGAGAAGGGGGTGTGGGATTCGTATCTCACTAAAATCACCCCGGTGGCCACCCTTAGCACTTGAGCACCTGGCATTGGGTCTTCTGACGCGACCTGCTCCGGAGTTCCCGCAACGCCTGTTACATCACATTCCTAGGGAGACCAAGATTCGCTTTGCACGGCCGCACGTGATCACTGTGCTACCGTTTCCTCTGAGGCCATTGGATGGGCCTAGAATCCCCACTCTATGCACCCGTGGCCCCAAAGGTCCGCCTGCAAGCGGGAATAAAGTCAACCTAGGTTACTTACGAGCATATTGAATTATCTAATTTAGGACTATATTAAAACACAAACCTACCTAAGCAACTAGTTTCTTTGGTAGCAGTTCCTCTTTTGATCCTTCAAACTTTAAAGGAATAATCCAGGTGTGTGATCCCTTAGAGATCTACAAATTTTCATAATTTCAACGCGTTATACTTGAGTACAATTATCATCGTCCCCTTTTAACCACCACTCTGTTATATTAACACTGTATACCTTCCCATGAGTACACTATCCGTTCTACCCAAACTTATATTTAATCTCGCATTTATAATTCATACAACAGTTGGATTATAAAACTCTAGGATAGTTTAATTCAAACATTTCATTATGCTTTATCCAAAGTCCCGTAATATCCCGTCTCTTAAAGTGGGATTGGGTTTTTGCTTGGGGCGTAAGTATAAAAGCAGCATTTGAGCTTCGTACTTAAAAAGTTGACCGTAAATGCGTAGAATATATAATATTAAGCAATCTGTAAATCTTGTTTAATAACATTAGGTACTTAATATTTGTATAATATGTTTTACGTAATTCTTCGTATCTTACGCTATTTTTTAAATTATCTTAAACAACAGGGCAAGATGATAATTTGGACCATTTGCTAGCAGATATTGACTAAGCATTTCATTCTTCTCAAATTCTACAACATTGTTACTATTACAATAAAACAGTACTAGTAGATAATAGTGTCTACGGTTTTTCAATTAATTACTTAATATTAAAAAAAATATTAACATAGGTATGCCAAGTAGGCAGTCAGGATTACAAACACGGATTATCCAGAACCCATATATATCCCTGTTTACAATGATACACATTCTTGTCAACAACTTACATGAGGAAACACCAACACAATTAGTTTAATTACACCTGCAACCGTTCTCAACGTACACCCATATCAAAACACCGCCCCTAGACTGACAGAAGGCCCCTCTCAAAAACCTCACGTACTTGACTCATAAAATGAAAACTTAAATAAATTGCTAGTACCTTAAAAACCTTAAAAGGACTTTTCACCTTTGTCATCTTTGCAATTTGACATAATTGTTGTGATAATGTTGTGTTTTCTATTTGTTTGTTTATTCGATTTTTACATACTTACATTTAAATTGTAATGTACGTCAGGCTGGCCCGGCCCCATGGAATTTAATAATGAGATTGTTATCAATCCAATGTACCCGGGTATACTAATATATGTAACACCTTCATTTTCAATGTAACTCTTTTTAAAAGAAATTACGTGCACTTCTTAGTGGCCGGGCCAGCCTGACGTTTTCAGCCCGGCCACCTTGTTTCCCACTAATCTACAAAAAATACTGGCAATATTGTGCTACAGATGAAATGTACCCTATAATTTATGCATATGTAACACAAAATCGAATCCTAAAATGCAATAGCATACGAAATATTAGCGGTTGCAGGTGGCCGGGCTGAAATTATTTCGTTACTATAAAACAGTAAAACTGCAACACCTACCAAAAAATAATACCAGTACATAATGAGATATAGAGATATAGAATACATGTAATGCTTTCATTTTAAATTATAATACATATTTAGAAAGAATAATCACTTGAAATTATATTTCAGCCCGGCCACCTAAAAGCGGTAATATTCCCTAAAATCTTATGCTAATTTGTACAGTAAAACCTGATACAGCTATGAAATGAAAGTTACATTCGTTTTGTTTTAGTCGTATACCTTTAAGCCTTCTGTTTGACTAGATTATCAAAATCTGAGAAACTTGCCGAAGAGTGACTATCATTTATTAACTAATTTCAGGACATTTGGTTTGTTGAGTGAAACAAAATTGGTAATTGTCATATTTTTTTAATAATCATTTTTGAAATTAGTTAGACAACATTTGTACTTATATTAATTAGGTACTATAACAATTGTTAATTATAAATAATGTAAAAAAAGGTTACACATTGATAATAACACAGTTATCAAAAAATTATAGTAATATCAATATTACCTTAACATCGCACATTCATTCATTCAGAATATTAGAAGATAATTTTTGGTTAAATACTTATTATACCTTGGTAAAAAATCACAGATTTTCATAATGATTTTTACATCTTTTCTGTCTACTCGGGGAAAATATCTTACGACTTAGGTTGGGACGCGACACAGGCGCCGTCTAAAAATCGGTGGTAGCGTCTGTGAACTATTATCTTTGTATGGTTATGTTGTGAAGCCAAAAACGGAGAAAATATATATAGGTTTAGGTATTATGTATCCAACAATTATTATGTGTGATTTATACTACTTAGTTTATTAATAAAAATATCATAGTAACCAATTTTGTTTCACTCAACAAACCAAATGTCCTGAAATTAGTTAATAAATGATAGTCACTCTTCGGCAAGTTTCTCAGATTTTGATAATCTAGTCAAACAGAAGGCTTAAAGGTATACGACTAAAACAAAACGAATGTAACTTTCATTTCATAGCTGTATCAGGTTTTACTGTACAAATTAGCATAAGATTTTAGGGAATATTACCGCTTTTAGGTGGCCGGGCTGAAATATAATTTCAAGTGATTATTCTTTCTAAATATGTATTATAATTTAAAATGAAAGCGTTACATGTATTCTATATCTCTATATCTCATTATGTACTGGTATTATTTTTTGGTAGGTGTTGCAGTTTTACTGTTTTATAGTAACGAAATAATTTCAGCCCGGCCACCTGCAACCGCTAATATTTCGTATGCTATTGCATTTTAGGATTCGATTTTGTGTTACATATGCATAAATTATAGGGTACATTTCATCTGTAGCACAATATTGCCAGTATTTTTTGTAGATTAGTGGGAAACAAGGTGGCCGGGCTGAAAACGTCAGGCTGGCCCGGCCACTAAGAAGTGCACGTAATTTCTTTTAAAAAGAGTTACATTGAAAATGAAGGTGTTACATATATTAGTATACCCGGGTACATTGGATTGATAACAATCTCATTATTAAATTTCATGGGGCCGGGCCAGCCTGACGTACATAAATTGTAATATCTATTGTGCTGTAGCTTTAGTTATAGTTCGTATGTGATATCGCGACTTCTGTTCAAATAATTTAAGTTATTTTAGTATTGTTCATTTAATTCTATAGGGTAAAAGTGGTCTTTCAAATCAATTGCAATAGTAAAAATTAAAGTATAAACGTTCTTTTTATTAATTTGCTCTAAGTAAATACAGTGAAGTTCTTTGCGGAAGTGTGCTGGTGCGCTCGGCCGATGCAATATCCGTGCCTTGTCTCTGAAAAAAAAGTAAACGATTTCTTGAACATCACTGTAGGCCGTTCGATTTAGCTTCTAAGTGAGATAAGTAGGGTCTGTCATTTCCTGAGCTACTGTCATTCAATTTCACCACCGTGAAGGATTCTGGATTTCACATTGCATGATTTTACTGCATCTCTGCAACTAGCTATCCGTTTCGAGTTTGCTCAGGTGTTATAATTTCCGACTTTCCCAGTGAGTTTGTCAATTTTTTATTTTACACAAACGACAGTGGTGCAGTTATTTGATAGTTAGGTATGTGCGCGTGAAGATAATATTTACATGAATAATCTTCAATTGGTTCATTATAGATTATACAAATGGATAAAAATAATAAACAAAACATGGAACATATTCTTGTTTCAAAGTAATCAATGAAATCAAATTTTAAGTGCGGGGGAGCTATGCTTCCGCACGAATGGGCCGGCTCCGCTGGAGTGATACCACGGCTTCACAGAAAACCGATGTGAAACAACACTGGCGTTGTGTTTCGTCGTGTGAGTGAGGTTACCGAAGGCCCAATTACCCCCCTTCCTAGTTTCCCCAATCCCGAATCGTCCACAATCCTCAAATCCCCAATTCTCAAAAGATCGGTAACACACTTGTAACGCCTTGGTGGTTCAGGTGTCCATGGGCGGCGCCGATTACTTACCATCAGGCGATACGTCCGCTCGTTTATCGGGTAAACAATAAAAAAAATGTATATTATGTAGGGAACTTGACTACAAGTCTACCAGACTACAATGTCCTCTAGTAAAAAGCTTATAATCGCACATGTCTACAATATGTGGTGATGTTATTATATTAAATCGTCGCATTCAGGCACTTCAGAAAAGCGGTCCGAGAGCATTTTCCGGTCCAGTGGAAAAGGTGCTTAAATGGCATAAGGCTTTGCAAGATATTGGCGTTTTTGTATTCTATGAAATTATTGGTGAGTTTGATTGATGAGATCTGTAACTTTTAATTTTTTGTTAGTGTATAACCTACCATGTTATATGAACAGACCTACTATCTATCTTTATAGGTTCCTATTTATGACACATATAATGTGTTGTAGATATTAACATGATGGCTCTCCACTTGCAAAATGTACCTACGTGTTGTTGCTTTTGGCTTTTGATCTATCTTATGTTAACCTTCTTAGAATGATTTGGTTAGTTGTATTTCGTATAACTTAAATATGCTTTTCAGCCAAATGTGTGAGTATAAGATCTGGAGAGTCTTGCGCAAAAAACCTTGTAATAAGGGATGAGAACGGACCAGCAATGCAAGTCGTTTATTATGAGATCGATTTCATGCTACCAGAGTTAAAACTTCCTTCTACTGTAAGGTAAAATTTATTTCTTTTAAAAATGTATGAATAATTTTAAAACATTATATCACTTGTAAATATGTATGAAAACTAAGAATTAAAAATGTTTTTTAATTTACTAAATTCATAGCACAATTATTTGTTAACTTTTACAACGCAAAAGAAGAAAAAAGACATGTTTGAGTGACAAGTAAGTAATAAGTAACCCACATTTTTGGCATAACACGACAGGGTTATAGGCAGAATGATAGCTGGTACCTGTAGACTTCAGGCATTCAGCGTGCGTCCCGCTACGGGTGACGATGTAGCGACTTTGCAACGTCGAGCTGCAGTAGCTGCCCATCACGTTGCACGTCTTTGCAAAGAGAATGGAGTGTCGCAATAATTAATATTAGAGTTTTATAATTACTAATGATTTTCTTTTAATATAATAATATGTTTGTTCATGTCGCAATTTTATTTTGTGTTCCGCATTTTTACCTAGGTATACAAGTGTTTAAACTGCCTTATTCGAATTACAGAACAACGTCAGCTTTACTACCATTATGTGAATATGATTAATAGTTTATAGACTTATAGTTTAATCCCATTGCTCCTTTTATGACAGAGTTATATAAGATACATAAATTCCACAAGTTTCTTGTAGATATGTTCCTATCCCATGTGACTTTGGTTTGGAAAGTACTTATAATTACTATAGGGACTGCAATTGTTAAAAGATCATACAATTTCAGTTTGGTGGTGTTTAACACAGTTAAAATATAAGTCTTAATATTATTATTGGAACTTAAAGATTGAAACAAAATAATATGACCTATACCTATGATACTTAAAAGTAATTATAATTAACTGTTTTAGTTTAATTTAAGCTGTAACATAATTCACAAAAAAACATTTTTATTTTAATAAATTAATACTTTAATGTATAAGCATTTAGCTTGGACATTAAATTATTTTTCATTAATATAATCCCTATGGATGATAATATCCTTTACTTACAATATAAATATTTTGAACCTTTCCTTTACTTATATATATTTTATAGTTACTAATTACTTACTAGGCACAAAACTAAACGCGACGCAATTATTCAACATTACAAAACTATTCAACTCGAACCTATTAATTAGGAACAATTTGTACGAGCTGAAAATTTCATTAACAACGTAAGAACTTCATCTTGACTAAAATTAAGATTTTCCTTTTAACAGTCGATTAACATGCAAATTGCATATTAATTTTAGCAAAATGGATGACTATTAAAAGTTAATATAAAGGATTAAAATATCGTTAGACGTTGTATTGAGATTTGAAAATTATTTATAGGAAAACCGGTGTACTATAAAAACTGGTTAGGTGGTAATGAAATTCTAGACTGAAATTAGTTACTAATTGTTATTACTGAAATTACATATAAACAATCATCATCATCAACAGCCTTTAAATGCCCACTGCTGAGCAAAGCCTCTTCTCACACGGAGAAGGTTTGAGCATTAATCACCACGCTTGCTCAATGCGGGTTGGCGATTACAAACTTATAATTAGAAATTATAAGCCCAGGTTTCCTCACGATGTTTTCCTTCTAAATAATCTTAGAAAGTACATATAACTCGGAAAAAGTCACATTGGTCCTTGCCGTTGGTAGGTTTCGAACCCGCACCCTCATGCATGAGAAGCGCGTCTTAAACCTCCGGGCCACCACGACCGACATATAAACAACAACAATTAGTTATTGAACATTTCAATTTAGAATTTCATTGAAAAAATAGAAAAAGCAGTACCTACCACTATCTATCTTGTTGCCTTAATTTAAAGATGAACCTAAATTGAAAAGAAGGGTGCATTCTAATCTACTTGCTTAATATAAGGTTTTGTTTTAAATTATTCGCGGCGAACCACACTTTTTTACAAACATACAGAATTAAGTAGGACCGTTTCAAGTGGCTTGTCTGCAATCATCATTAAAGCTCGTTTAAAACTACAAAGAGCACAGGGCTAACAGCAATCGTAATGAGAATGGGCGAGGAGTACCAATTAAACAGGTACAGACAAGTTTTGACCCGTCCTTGCGGTAAGTCCCTTCGCGCCTCGCATATAATCAGTGTTGAACTATGTACTATAACCTAAACTTGTCTAGGAAACACTAATTAACAGCGAACTACAAATTGTTGGATTTCACTGGCAGCAGTGTCAGTCTTTGTTTAACTTACATGCCATTTGTTTTAAATTGGAAAGATTTTAAGTAAGTATGACAATCTGTGGTTAGATTAATTATTAAATTTTTTGGCTTAATCACGTAACTGATTGATCGGTGAACTTGATTAGTTTTAAGCTAGAGGCGTATAAGCAGCATTCCGCAAACAGTTATGTGAATAGGCCGAAAAACATCACACAAAAGTTATAATATAAACTATGGTTAACTCTCAAATTGTCCATAACAATCGAGTGTATGTACTGAACATAAAATCATTTTCATTAATCCATGCAAATAGATTCCAATGTTTGTTAAATTATTAAATGAAAATGAATTTCGTGACGTGCAATGCATCGTGTGTGTGCTGTGTTTGTTTACTTAATGTATTTAAAATACTAGATAGAGTTTCTAGCTGTTTTATAATGTTGAATCGATCAGTTATACTATGACTCAAAAACAAATGCATGTCCGTTTTAAATTGTCAGTAGAAACATACTGTTTAGAAGCAATAGTGCACATAGCCCGTCTGTTTAATCGTTCGGGTAATAAAATAATAAGTTTGTGGTGATAGTGATAGTGATAGTGAAAAATATCAAATACGAATCACAACACCTTTCTTCAAATGTTATCTAAAAACTGAATGTATAAAAACATACTATATGAAACGCAACCAATCAGCCATGAGAGATCGCTCTATTTCCTCCAAGTGCATCAATTCACCGTCAACGTAATACGTTCGCGCTCGTCCCATATTACCCGTATGTCATAATGGAGCTCCGAACTGATTGGACGAATTTCTATAGCGCGCAAAAAATGACGATAAATCGGGATCAATTTATTTTACGTCGATTCAGAGATTTAGCGTTAAACTCTATTGTAGCATGAACAATGCGGCGTTAGGAAGCAATAAATATAAATGAAAATCTAAAAAGTTCTGCCGTACCGTTTACACTTAAGGTCAAAAGTTATGAGGTAGATAAAACAAAAACTAAGTAAGTATATTGCATGGGTGATTTCAGACCACGAGATAATGATGCATCATATCTCACGTTAATCACGTAAGATTTAACTTATCTATTCACGCAACTCCATAATTTGCGTTTATCAGATTAAGCTGTAAGTTTATAATGAATAGTTGTATAAATATTTGGTTATTTCTTTGTAATCTAGGTACCTATAAGGGTAAGGGTGATTTATAAGCATATGTGAACGGTGTTCTTGATATTAATTCTTGCTGAAACATTTCTGTCGTGTTAACGTACGGACCTTAATTAACAATGGATCATTTAAGACATAAAGTAGTGGTTATTACAGGTGCTGCGCATGGAATAGGTGCTCAAATTGCTGAAGACTTAGTAAAAATAGGAACGACTGTTATTGGGTTCGAACCAACAGACGAGAAAGTCGAAGAAATGTTGACTAAAATGAATAGTTGGGGCAATTTTGAAGGACAATTAATACCCTGTAAATGTGATGTGTCTAAAGAAGAAGATATAAAGAATGCTTTTGAAGGTATAGTAGCAGCATATGGTGGCACTGATGTTCTGATAAATAATGCTGCTGTCGGAAAGGAAGGATTAATATCAACAGGAGTCATAAAAGATTTAATTGATGTTGTGGACACAAATATTTACGGATTAATAACATGTACAAGATACGCGATTAATTCAATGGTGAAAAAAGATGTTCTAGGCCACATTATTAATATTAATAGCATTTGTGGTCACTATATGCCCCCTTTTGCCGAACCAAAGATAAATATGTACATAGCGTCTAAGCGTGCGATGACAGTGTTAAATACTTTATTGAAGAACGAATTTCAACTAATTAATCGAAAAATTAAAGTATCAAGCATATCACCAGGGATTGTACGTACGGGGATATTTAAAACTGCTGGTATAAGTTTCATAAATGAAGAGTTTTTTCAAAAGTATCCACATTTGACTGTAAAAGATGTATCTAACGTCGTTCTATTGGTTTTGTCAGCTCCCCGTGGTATACAAGTGAATGAGATAATATTTCATGCGTTACATGAAATTTATTGAGGTTTTGTTGATTATTATTGATGAAAATTAAAAAGAGATTTGTTGCTAGTGGTTCTTTCTTTAGTCATACATTATTGCTAAGTAATTTGTCATATTTAATCGTTTTTTTGGGTTAGGTAGGTACCTTGTTTTATGCCTGACGCTTTTTAATTGTTTTCATTATTTTGATTGATTACTGTTGAATTTTACTAGACGATCGTAACGATTAAACTAAAATATATTTTCCGAACCAAAACCATACAAACGTACACGCACTTTTAAAATAAAATAAAGTACATTCTTGATGAAATTAATTAATTAGGTACATACCTAATAATTATATATAATAGGTACTCGATAAATCTGTATTGTTGAGCAAGCAAAGACGCGAAGTTGGCTAGTTATGTTATTATCATAAGCCTGTTCCCATGCAAGCATTCCGGTATTTTTCACCACATTAAATTCTCGTTAGGTTATCAAACCGAACTTATCTGCGTAATGTGCATTTATTACTTGATATAATAATTTTCAACCTGGAAAGGAAACTTATGTTATATAAAGGATGCAACTGATACCAGCGACAGTATTTTATGCGGCTTAAAGATTCAAACTACTTGCATCAACGTTAAAGATAAGATGCTGTGTTGGATTAACAAGGTAGTGATCGTCACAGATTGCAGCGACAATATTGGGTTTGCTATAATGGACAAATTAGCTAAAGCTGGTATGATAGTTATTGGCTTTACTAAAAATCAAAATATTTTGGAGGAGATCACAAAACGGCTTAGTGCAATGGCCAACGCAAATGGAAAAATTGCATTGTTTGAATGCAATATCGCAGACGTTGAACAGATGATTGAAGTATTTCAGAAAATTAAAGACACATATGAAGGAGTAGATGTATTAATCAATAATGCTCAATACAATATTGATTGCTTAGTAAGTAACGGAGCTACAGAAGATATTAAGAACTTTATTGACATCAATATTAATGCTTTGATTACTTGCATAAGACTGGCTGCAGGATCTATGATAGAACGTAAAACTAGAGGACATATAATTAATATGAATGACATTATTTCGTACCAAATACCAAAAGATTCAAGAAAATCTATTTACATAGCCACAAAAGCGACCGTAACATCTATCAATGAAATACTTCGTCACGAATTCCGCTTCTTAAAGGCTAATATAAAAGTAACAAATATTGCTTGTGGAAGAATTGAAGGAAAAACAGAAATGGAAACAATTGACCCAAAACTACAAGTAAAGGATGTGGCTAAGTTAGTCAAACTGATATTGGCCACGCCCGAACATCTACAAGTCCACGAAATTATGTTAGATTCAGTAGTCGAATAATTTGCAGTTATACTGGGTTGTATGGGTTTAATTATACATTTGAAATTAAAATGTGTACCTATCTAAGTGGAAGTTTTATTTTATTTATATTCTTTACCTTTAATTTAGGCAGCAAAAGTATTGAATGCTCCGGAATATAGAAACTAGATTGAATAATTGAAACTGTAATACACACTTAAGTGAAAAATAATAAAGAACTAGTATCTCTCCTGGCTTTATGTGTCACCGGGCTCTAGATAGTAAGCAAGCCTGCTTTGCCCTGGTCCTATACTTAGTACTCTTTAACCACCTGTTTGTGCGGACGTAACCTTTGGGTTGTAGTTGAAAAACTCAACAAGAATATGCGGATAGGTACCGATGTTACAAAAAAAACTGCTTTTGTAGCTAGGCGCCACAGTCGTTGTTTTCAGAGACTGTGTCCGCCTTTTTTAAAATGTCCTTAGATGTCTTCGATCAACAATAATTATTGTTAGTTAGATGTGGTCTTTCTTGAAAATTTCAAAAATCTTATGCTACAATTACACTCTCGCGCGAGATGAGACGAGGTTGAGGTACATTGCAGTCTTATAATGCGAGAAAGACAACAACTCTTTTAGAATAACGACAATGTAACTCGGCCTCGTCTCGACTCGCGCGAGAGTGTAAATGTAGCATTAGATACAGCTATTTAATGACGTTTCCATTTTCAATTCAGTGTCATTTGTCAGTGTCTGTGATTTATTTCAAAGGGTTTATAATGTATTTTATTTAGAAGTGTAGCCGTGAAATGTAGGTATAAACACAAATAAAATAAATATTATGGCTTCTCCAAGAAGTGAGGCTTATGAAGATCCACTTAGAAAACGGTCAAATACATCAGGCATAGTGAGTATAATAACACATGATGAAGTTGGTGGTAAAAAACATAGAAGAGTGGAAGAACCTGAAATTGAATGGAGTGATTTAATTTTTCTTCCGTTTCATCCGGTGTTTAAGTTGTTCGTGCTCGTGGCTGTCCTTATCAAAGTAATGCTGGTAAGATTTTTTAAATATTATATCTCCCCATTTTCCGTAAAGAAAAATAAATACCCAAACTTATTTGTCATCCCCGCCTAAGGAGTAACGAGTTATGCTGTATGAATATACATCTAGTATCATAGTATGTATTTATGGCTATAGCTATTTATGGCTATGACTACAAACATAATTACCAAAAGTTACAGTAATTATTATTTTGTGTTGTTTGTTGCAGGGCCCTGTACAAGCGGTATACCCAATAGTTTATTGTAACGATGTTATGGATTACCATCCAGTTTTGATCGGTATCAAGTATTGTTATTGGTATTTTTGTGATTCGATTTATGGCATCGATACTTTTCTCCATATCGTACACAGGTATGAAAATTGTCGAAAAGGCCTTTTATTCATTATCATAAAGAAAGATATCCAGTGCTGAACATGGCCTCCTTCATTATCAGATATTAACAAGTACCTACCTATAATATCACAATTTTTGGTTTGAAGTTTTTACCATACCGATTAGGTATCAGTAGTGGGGTTTTTGGGTAAAATATTCATTTTACTTATTACCTTCAAGGTGTTATAGTTGATATATAAGGTCTAACAAAAATAGTGCACAATATTTTAACAGGTGATATTATTATAGTACATGAAAAGGATTATGTTTACCTAAAAAAATGTAAACAACATGTTTAATTAAATTTAGCATCACATTTGCAAAATTGTCGTTGTGTTTTTACGCATAACGCCAGCCGTATGGATGCGCGCGGACGTTTATCTTACGGGTCAACGACCGAGCTTTTCGAATAGGTACATAGGAATAGGTACATATTGCAGGATGGCATAAAAAGCAATGAAAATAATAAATGAATAATTGAATTATTAAAAATAATTGATAAGTTTTTATAAAATATTTTCATAAAAAAATGATGTTTATCACATACTAATTGACCTACTAAAATATTGTGCACTATTTTTGTTACACCTTATATTTCTGACAAAGCTGTTAGAAGGTTCGTATAAATATTCGGTTCCAGGCATTTATGACTTCCCATTGATGAATACCTACTATGTTATATTCTTTGACAAATACAGAGAGAACCTCGGAAATGTCTAAAACAAACCAAAGCATGACAAAGTTTTGTTAGAAGTGATGTAGTTAAACGCATTTTGCACAACCTAGGAGGACATGACTCTTTTTAAATAATTACTTATATTTTGTTTTAGGCAAGTGGTGGATAAGGCGATGAGACGCGAACATTTACCAAAATCGGCATTTTGGTTGCTCATTGATATTTTATCTCTACTTCCGTTGTTTCGTTTAACTATAAATGATCCCTGCCCACCAGCCCAAGTGTGGCCGAATATTTTAGCGTTCAATGAATTTTTGGTGTAAGTATGTCTAACGCTATTAATTTGCAAATAGTTAATTCATGTATCCACTCTAAAATTAGATAAAAAAGTCCCTACAAGTACGGACTAAATCAAACAGGGACAGAGAATGTGGGTCTGATTCTTAACAGTTCAAAAGTTATGACTAATTTTCGTTTTGTGCAGTGATTATTCCATTATGTTAAAAATCAACGATAATTTTTCGCCAAAATGCAGATATGTTATTTTATTCTCTATATCTCAATTCGATTTCATCCATACTTCCAGGGATAGGTATAGATATTTTATTTTACAATTGTTACTAATTTAATATTTTTTTGTCAAAAATAAATAATGTTTAACTTTCTTTCAGTATTTACAGAATAACAGACTATTTTGCATTACGATCTACTCATTCTTACCTAAAGCTTTTGGTCGGTGGTTCACTTGTGATGGTCATGTGTATCAACTGCATTGCATGCTTCTTTTTACTGGTCACATACCAAGGTTTTTGTGAACGTTGTAATAATGACAAAGGCGTTTATTTTGATTGGAGAGCATTTGTATCACACAAAGTAATAAAAATATATTAAGTATTGTTTAAAGTTTATTATAAATTGTCATGGTTATGAATTCAACGCAAATACTCTTATGTTTTTCAGCTTAATGAAACAGATGAAGGATACGCAACATTCATTTACGGAGTAGTATTTATATATTCTTATTTTATTAGAATGAATATAGACGATATGAAGCCATCTACGATTCTGGAGTATATAGTGGTGTGCTTATTGATGGTGTTGAGCTACGTAGTAGGACATTTCATATTAGTACCCAAATCCTTTGCTGAATCTACGTTAAGGTTTCGCGGAATTATTTCTTTGTATTCAAGAGTGATAAAAATTATTGATGAGACTGAAAGAAGAAATCCTAATGATGACTCAGCAAAAATAGTTAAACAATATTATAAAAAGTTATATGAAAAAAAGAGTTGTATAGCAAGAACACCTAAGTTTTTTTTTGAGCTACCTAGATATTTGAGGCTTGAAATTATGCAGGATTTGCTATGGCCATTGTTTTATCATAGTCCTACTTTGAGGAAAACAAGCTATCCATTTCGACGTCTGATAACTGATCTTGCAGTTATGAGTTTTAAGTTGCCGGGTGAGAAATTTTTCACAGGGTTAAATAATACTGGTTCTTTATATTATCTCAAATCTGGGATACTCCAGCTCATTTCACTAGATGATGGAGTGACACCGATTCTTTCTGTTACGGCTGGGACAATATTTGGAGACATATGCTTTTTTGTGCCTCATGTAAAAAGGAAAGTTATAGTTCGTTGCGTCACATATTGTGAATTCTACTATGTCAAGCGAGTGGATATGATACGAGCTTTATATAAATATCCAGACGACCGAAAACATGTCATGAATGACGCCCGGTGCAGATTGTCTCACGCAAAAGTATTATTTGCGAACAAAAAAAATATAAGAGGACTTGATAGAAATGAAGATGAAGGAATCTGTTGGATTAAGAGGCGATGGTGGGAATTGTCTAACTTCTTTGAGAGTTACAATCTTAGTCCAGATGAATTTAAAGAAAGATTAAAGGGAAATTTATCACATGATGAAACAATATACCACTGTGCTAAATATATAGGACAACTTGTTCTATGTAATAAAACTGAATTACAAACAAATTCTATGTTCACTCGATTAAAATTTCCGTGGATACTTAACGTTCGTTCCCAGTTCGGGCGCATATGGTACCGAATTCTTTCTGCCACCGTACTTCTTGTACTGTTCTTGTATCCATTAAATTTAGTTAAAGCCCATGTACCTGACTGGTTTATATTTTTCACATTTTTTGTAGATACTGTTTATATTATTGATATAGGTGTGTCTCTCATGACTGCAGTCAAGAGACAAAACACTCTGACGAATACATTTTCTACAGTCATTTTTGAACGTTTTAAGAGCATAACTTTTTTCCTTGACATACTATCCACAATTTGGATTGAAGATGTAGCAGAACTTTGTGGAGCCCAGACCGGACTTAATTATACTCTTCAATTTAATAGGGTCATTAAAGTTTACGTACTTTTTTATGGAGAGTATTTAGAATTTGATGTTCATCAAGATCCTATAGTTGACATTTTTCGAAAAATGATATTGGCTCAACTCACCTTTCATATTGTTACTAGCCACTTTGTATTTGACATGCTCTATTATTTTCCGAAGCTGTCTCCAAACTTTTTCTTTGGAAAAATAATTTGCTCTAAGGCCCATACTACAAATTGCACTGAACCAAATATACTTGGAGCTACTATTCCATGGTTGTTTGAGTGGAGCTATGCCGAAAATTTTGCTTCAAATTTGGCTGATGTATATTTGGCTGCATTACTTAGTTTTGTGGTCTTTATTTTGTATTTGTTTTGCAAAGGAAGATATTTGTCCTATTTATACTTACATAATATGAATATAATAAGGTACCAGAGTTTTGTTATACAAATTAAGAAGTATTATAAACACTATAGAATACATCAAGATTTACTTAAGAGACTGGACAGGTATCTCATATGTCACTGGAAATACTACAAAGGTACAGACGTATTAGAGGGTAATAAATTAGAAGATGATGCAAGAGCCATATACTGGAAGGTCCAAGGAAACATGTCTAAATCAATTATAAGCCAATCCAAACCATTCCTTCATGCGGATCCTCACCTTATAGCGGACTTAAGTAGAGCAACACACTATTTGATTCTTCCCAAAAATTCTAACATATGTATGTTCGGAGTTCAAAGTAAAAATGTTACTTGGGTCGCTCAGGTAAGATTTTGAAATACTCAAAAGTCACTTCATTTTAAGTCACTATAGTATATCAGTATAGTTCTATTCACTACAAATTCTTTGTAAAATGACATAGATGGCACGATATTTAACCTTTAACTACTGACGTGGGTGTCTCATAGACGGCGTGTTCACGAATATAAGAATTTTCCAAAAAAACGTCCAAATAATTGGATTGTAACTAAGATTGTAACATATATTTTTTTAAGTTATGCGAAATATTTATATTTTAAGTTTATAGAATTTGAATCAGAAACCGCTGATTTCATTCGAGAATGTTGTAATTTTTGCACTTTCTTTAATAGAATTATAATGGACCGATCAGAATACAAGTAAATATTGTGCAAATCAATAAATAAAAGTAATCCATTTCGATTATTTATTAAGGTGTTTGACATACGTCACGTCACCGTTTATGGTATGAGTAAACCACGTCAGTACTTGAAGGTTAAGTACAACTTTTTGTATTCGGACGAACAAAAAATGATATTATGACTATTGTTTTTTATATGAGCTGCTGCAAATTAATAACTTGTAATTTTAGGGTTACGCAAAATCCGAGTATTCTGATGAAAACGGAAAGTTGGTTACGGAATACTTTGGACCCCGTTCTTTGCTATCTTTATTTGAAATTTTTCTTGGGAAAGTATCACTGCGATCTTATACAGCATACACTGATTGTGAAGTAAGTAACAATGATATACAACTTTTCTAAAAACCGCATCAGAATATGTTCAGCCAGTTGTGACATAGAATCTGTACGCGACAAACGCAACATAGAGATCAAATTACGAACCTCCTTCTTTTTTTGAAGTCGGTCAAAAATTTATTAATAAAAAATATTTTAATCATTTTATTTCAAATAAATGTTAAATGGACTTTGCATGTTATATAAAAGTACCTACAATCATATAAAATGACAAACTATATTTAATTACAGATAATTTATATACCAGTTAAAGAATTTTTGAATGTTTACAAAAAATATCCAAAGGAACAGGTGTATGTACAAAATTGTGTACAAGAGTTTGGAACTAGATACAACGACATTTTTCAGGATCATGTCCTGCAACATAGAGATGTGAGGACCTTTTTAAGTACTTATTTTTGAAATAGACAATTTTTAAGAGTTCGGTGTTAGCTACTATGTAATTAGATTTCAAAATACAATTTAATTTCTTCTTCGAATACGCTTTTCAGTATCAACACAAACTCAGGGATAGGCTTTACAGTTCAAGAATGTTGATTACTTCCAATAGTAAAATTTTTGCTAACTTTCAAGACACTCGATCGTTATCTGTTGAAGGCATTTTCTGGGGAGATCCGGAGTCAAGGTAATGAAACAATATTTTAAATAAATTATGTATTGTAGTTGTACCTAATACAATATTAAAGAATGTATTGGGTTGATAATATTAAAACATATTAATTTAACAGGGCGCATTTGATAGGCTAGTTAGTAAGCATTTGAATAGAATATAGTCTGGGTCAAGGACGTTGAAAAAAAGGTGGACATAATGTCACTTAGAAATGATTGAAGCACCAAAATGTCAGTGGTGTATTTATGTGTGCGTGTGCAACACCGTAATGTATGAAGTGTAATGACGGGCCATGTCACGTGACTGATGTCCTTCGTGTCAATGAGTGTGTAGGTATTCTGCGTGTAAGTCTATAGTAGGCAGGTGCCACAGTCGTTGGTTCAAGAGACTATGCCTATTTTTAACGTCCTTGGTCTGGGTATCATGTGTGCCAGCATAGTTATAATATTTGCTACGTTCCAGATTCATGCAGTCGTGGATGTTGTTCCGAGTTATAATTGTGTGTATATCCATAATTAGCGCGGCGATGCTAGGTAACAATTATTTGTATTTTTTATTTCATACTACCGTAGGATTTCTATCGGTTTTCTTCATGTTCTCGTTTTAAGATATAAAAAATTAAATTGAGAAAACAGCACATTTTCTCAACAGTTTATTTTGTGATATTTAATGACTAGTTATGAAAAGAAAACTGGGACAAACAAAAGACAAATTGTAATGTAACTAATGTCTTACGACAATTTTTAACTACAAAATGTAATATTAAGTATGTTAATTGAAGGTGGCGTGGGAGCAGTGTCACGATGGATTTTTATGATGATCAGTGCATTCTGTGATTGTGTTGCGTTTGTTGATATCATTATCAAGCTATGTGTAAGTTTATTTTAACTTACTCCCCCTACTGGCACTAGCCTTCAATCTTTCATCATTTTCTCATAACTTACTTTATAAAAATGTTAATTATTATAATTTCAGTTACCTTATTATAACAGGCGAGGGCTTTATGTTACGGATAAGTCATTATGCTTGAGAAATTACCTCACGAAAGGATTTTTGTTAGATATCATCGGCGCTTTTCCATGGCATAGTGTTCTTCGGGCTCTTATATCACATGAAATAGACGATGACAGCACGTTTCTTATAAATACAGTTTGCAAGTTTGCCCATATATACATAATTTTTGCATATTTTGATTACATTACGGATGTACCGACTGTTAATTTTACTTACATCATGGTTAGTTGTATCTACATTGTAGTATTGCTTTATAATTTTTAATTTTTGCCTGTATGGGTAGATCAGTGTAATGTTACAAAATTTAGAAAGGGTTAGTTCACCTCTTTGGAAATTAATTATTTATATTATTATTGACTTATCATACACCTACCTACCCACTAAAAGTTGTCCTTAATGATTTTAATATTTTAAAAGTTGCCCTGTATCTGTACTTCTTCTTTATGCGTACTAAAATTTTGTTTAATAATACATAATAATATTTTTTTGCAGATATTTAAATGGCAGATTGTAAACATGTTAATTGTTTTAGCATCTAGCCATTATTTAATGGTTAATTGTGTTCATTTTGAATTTAGTAAAAAGAATGATTTAGTTAGTGTTCTTCTTAGGAATCAATGCTGGATGCCGTCGTTATATCATTTACCTAAAAAGTTGAACGGACATCAGTTGCATCTGGTATGTCATTTACAGAATATTTTTACATATTATTATTATTTTTACCTCATGATAATTTTTTAGGCAAATTCTTCAATAGATCTGCTTTTACCTACATTTCCTTTTTGTCCGTATTTTAGAGGGTTTTCTATAAGGTTTCTCATCCTATAAGAATATCAAGTCAAAAAGAAGCTTGATAATATGTTACTACCTAAAAATAAAGTAATGGGAACTTAGAACTTGTTTTACAATTTCTATTCTAATCGCGAGACTAGGTAAACCCCATGAAAATTTTTCGTTTCGTTTCTTTTTGAGATATCCTAATTTAAATTACATATTTTTTTTGTTTCAGATATTCGCTCAAAGTTTAAATCTTGCAGAAAGCGGTATGTTAGGGATGAATTTCGGTAGATTTAGTATCGATCGTTTAAATTTGGGTGTAGGTTTTGTTCTATTTGCCCTTGGTTTCACCTTTTGGTAAGCTTTGTTTATTTATCGTATTTTATCACTCCATGCACAAAGTCTAAATTAAAGAAAGTTTTTCTCAAAATATTCAGGTTTATATCATGTTATACACTATCGCTATTGGTGTTAAACATTCGAGGAGATACAATGTACCAGAATTCGGTACATCAACTTGTAACTTTTCTTAAGTCTGAAAGAGTAGAAAATTCTATTATTGAAAAAGTAGCGGAGCATTTCCGATATTGTTGGATAAGGTATGCATTTTTGTTTAATTGCTTTCAATCTTTCAATGCTGTTGTTGTAGACGCCAGATAACAAATATTGAGATAACGGTAACAGTATCACTGTTTCAGAACCAAGGGAGTAAACTTACAACAATTGACCAATGAACGCATCGGTGCCGTGTTCAGACAGGATTTAAGTTATTATTTCTATAAAAAGTAAGCTTGTCTCTTTTACAGCTATGTTATTTTTTATATCTATGTATTGTTTTTGTTAGAAACTACTTATACGTATCATACGTAAATAAACGTTGAAACTGCATTCAAGTCTGTAGTCAAGTATGGGCTTCTATTTGTGTGTGCATATCTGTATTCTTGTATACGTGTGTGTCGTGGCGTAATAAACATTTTTTCTTTCTTTCATTTAACGAAAACGTAGATTAGTTTTTATGTACACCTACTTTACTATTTCTTTTTGATGCAGAACTTTTACAATTCTGGATTCAATAATTGGTGGTGGAGAGATAGTACAAAGGCAACTGGCCAGTGTCAGTGCGGTTGCTTACTATTTGCCCAATCATGATATATTTAGGGAAATGGATGTTTGTCGTTATATATGCATTGTACACCGGGGAAGAGTCAATATTTTCAAAAATGATAAGAAAATCATTATTCTGACTAAGGTGAAATAACTAACAGATATTATTTTTACTTAATATTTATTTTGGAATAGGAGACAATCCAATGGTAAGCGACCGGCGTCGATTGACACCTGCAACACCAGAGGACTCTCAAATAGATTGCCAGCTAGTAAGGAGTCTGCTTTTTTCTTGATGGTTTGAAGGTGGTCTGATTTCGGTATTATCTTAATCGAATTTTTCATTATAAGGGTGACGTATTCGGTCAACTGGAAGGTGTGAAAGTACGTCCAGTTCGTGTGACAGCTGTAGCCGAAAATTACGTGGATTTACTATTGATTGAAATATCTGCCTTCCAAACTATCATCACCGATGAGGTACGCTTTCATGTTTTAGCATCTAGCTTCTTTGCCCTTCTCACAGGTTTACTATAGCAAACTTGTATACAATGTTATGTACATGTAAGTGTTGATTTATCTATTTATTTTCTAGATTATTTAATTACACGATAATAGTCTTAATGTATTTTTAAACTTCTTTTCTAGATGCGATATAAAATCAGTAAAAGTAGACAAGCCAAGAATAACTTTATGGCAACCAAAAATGTTTTCGTTGAAAATCCTTACGACTCCGTTCCATACCTTCTACGTGGACGTAAAATTATAATTTTACCGGTAAGTTCTGTTAACTTATCTTCTTTGAAAACCGTGGTTATTTACGGTTAATATTTTAAATAACAAATTTACACAGCTGAAATAAATAGTTAATGATAATTAAAAATGTATGTGACTAAAAGTTAAAAAAAATGTTGCAAAAATTCCTAAGAATACCATTTTGTGAAACGAGGTAACGATTCTAAACTTTTAACAAGAAGAACGTTTCCTTTCCTTTTGCCTAAAATCCGATTCACTTATGTAGTAGTGATATCTACTTCGTGAATATCTTTAATATGGTTGATTTTTTCATATTTTCAGAGTCATGATGTGCCCATAGAGGCTATTGATGGATCATGGTATTCTCGCTGGCTATATTTAGCATGGTTAATTAGTCCATTTTTTTCGAGTTTCACGGTCTTTATATCCGCAGCTCTACCTTCAGGATCTCAATTATCGGTTCAATTACTAGCGTTGCTTGCCATCACGGATCTTATAGGTTGGGTTAACTTTGTAGCCGAGTTTTACTCTGTAAGTTGATGACCATAATCTTTATAGTAAAATTATTAAAATATCTACTACTTATTCATTGTTTTATTGTTGTTTTATTGCAGGCTGAACTCATCGTAGCTAGAAATAAATTAGCTTACCGTCGTTTTGGTGTAAAGAAATTCAGGGATTGGACTTTGTATCTTGATGCTTTGTCTTTGCTTTTACCTCTGGTTACATTATTTACTGGACGCTGGGGTTTCCAACTGGCGAGACTGCTAAGATTGAAATTCTTTTTGGATTTCGACACTCATTTTTGTAGAGGCTTCAGGGTATTTATTACTTACCTTGCTTTAAATATTCAGTTAGCGATAATAATAATTATTCTAACACATAATGGTTTCAGAATCAAAGAGCCACCTACGTTTTGAAATTCACAATTTTATTGTTGTTGTTGCACTTTTTTACGATTGGATGGATTTTATTTGGATGTCAACGTGGTATGATGTTGTTTTAAGTTTAGTTAAACAGAGTTACTTGTTAAAAGAGCGTAAACTTATATGATTTAGTCTAGAACATACCATTTACAACATTATTGTTGAACAAATCGATAGGCGGAAATGAACCGTTATTAAAATATTTGGGCCAATATTCCTGGTTATTTGTTCATTTTTCTGCTTACCAAAAAAGGGTTAGATGTGAAAATGATTAGTTTTATTTTATTACAGAACCACAATTTCCAACTGATATCGCAGATACACGTCATTTGAATACAACTATAGATTTTACACAATGGGCTCCGGTTTATACTAGAAAAGATGGTAATTATATTTTTGGATAGTCAATAATAAGAACATTTATGACATATGTATAGACATTGTAGTGTTATTACTTATTGAATAAGATTCTAGAATTTGAACTATTGATCTGTCATTTTACGATTATGTCCGTTCATTATCAATGCCATCAGCCTGTTTTCGTTCACTGCTGGCCATACGCTTCCCCAATGACGCCACTAAGCTCAATCTTCAGTTCTACTCATCTAACCATAACCAGCTACCTTGCGGATATCATCACTTCACCTTGCTAGAGGGCGCCCTACACTACACACTCAATCTCCACTGCCGAACATGTCTACTCCAACGCTAATCGGTTCTTCGACAACTATGATCGACACACTGCAATTTCAGCTGGTTAATCCTTTGATTGATTCCATTACAGGCATGAAATTACATTAATAAAGTTTATTTTGATACTTTCAGGTTGTGCAAGAGCCACAAGAACATTTACTGATAATTACGGTAACGAAAATCCATCGTTTGTAGTGCCTAGATATTGGCTTCATGATTATGTGGTTGCTTTAACCTACATTTTAATTATCCATACTCATACCAGCATAGATACAGTAAGTTATTATTGGATAAATAAATTATTTAATAATTACAACATTTGATTGTTGATTCATTTGAACTTTATTTTAGGTAATAGCTTTGTCCCTAAAGCAATTGTATTACAAAATATTTGTGACCTTTCTCATGTATTTGCTGGATATTTGGATAATGGCTCTGGCAATCAATTATGCATTTAAAAATTTCCGTCTATTATATAATTATGACTACGGTGTTCAACGGATGTTGATGTATCTAGATCAAAATGGAATTAACCATGCTATTCTTGATATAGTCAAAGAGTACACTGATCATTTGTGGACGAGACAGAGAGGTATAAGTGTTTATTTAGTAATATTTTTATTACCTAGAAATGTGAAATAGATGCAGCAGAACATTCAATTTAAAGAACAAATTTTAAATCAGAGTATGAGATAATATGCTAAGTTAAATAAAAATGCATGCAATATGTCTTCAATAAGTTTTTTATGGCATAAGTCGGTAAACGAGCAAATGGAGCGCGTGATGGTAAATAATCAGCGCCGCCCATTGACACCTGAAACACCAGAGGTGTTACAAGTGCGTTGCCAACCTTTTGGGGTTAGGAATTTGAAAATTGTTAGGGATTTGGGGATTGGGGAGGGTAATAAAATTAGGAAAATTATTGGGCCTCCGGTAATCTCGTTCAAACGAGAAACCACAACGTAGGGGCTGTGTCACGTTGGTTTTCTGTGATGCCGTGGTATCACTCCGGGCAAGCCGGCCCATTCGTGCCGAAGCATGGCTCTCCTACAATTAAAATCACCATGTCACCTCAGATTCAATAATCGTAACGTTCAAAAAGTTAGTGTTGCATTCGTATTTGTCACGTATTATTACACTTGTTTTGTAGGCGACCGGCTTCCCGAATTAGTTTATGATGTGCCCCCATGTTTACGAAATGATCTGTTCTCTTCATTGTACATACATCATTTGGATTCTGCTCCGGCGTTCCGTCAACTACCTGATTACTTTAAAAGACAGTTATGTGCAAGATTTACAAGATTAGTAATATTTCCAGGTTTGTATTGTAGATTATTCAGTTGAAAGGCAAAAATTCTCCGAATTTGCAGTTAATAAAAAAAAATGTAGAGGATGTTGCCCTTTTACAATTTGAATTATATTTAGTCCAATAACTTGTTTTAGTAATGCTTAATATTTCAACATAAAAATTTTGGGTAAACAAAAAATGATGTTATGTAGACAGTATGGCTGTTTTAATATGTTTAAGCAAATTTCAGGAAAGTGCATTGTACGGGAGGGTGACACTTTTAATACGACGTACTTCATTCACCAGGGTGAAGTAGAAAAGTGGATGACCGATGCTAAGTAAGTGTTTTAGATGCTCACTGATTATATTGTAACTTTCGTGAGACATACTAAATTTCGTCAAATATTTGACGAGGAACTCGAGTAGTAGCGGCAGCGCAACAGTCACCGCGTCGTGTGTCGTGAAATTCTGCATATGAGCATCTAGTGTGGCTGGAAACTAGTCGAGTTCCTCGTCAAATAGTAAGGTAAGTAAGCCAAAAAACAGAATAATTAACTCACTGTTTGATAATCTTATTAAAACTTTCTCATTTAGATAAAAATTAAGATAATTACTGTTTAGTATTTTAATATATTATTATGTCTGCTTGTTAGCAGTCAAGCAAAAATTCATAACTTCTCTAGATTCGGCGACTTTTATTGAGTCATTTGAAACTTCGTTCAGTATCTTGGTTCAATTAAATGTTCAAATAATTAACTTTAATGAAGCCTTTTCTTTACAGTGGTGAAGGGAAATTGGTATCTATATTGTACACAAATGGCTATTTTGGATGTATTACTGGATTATACCCTAGTGCTAGCTTTCGATTCTCTTATTACACACGGACGGTAAGAATTACAATAATTTATTCACTAACTAAAGAAATGAAATTATCTAATTAGACTGATTTTTCCATTGAAGTTCCTACAAAATTTAGCTTTCAAACTGATTATGCACCATTATGTATAGTTAACAAAATAACTATAATTCCAGAAGGTACAAAAGTAAAGGTAGTAAAGAAGGTTAAAAATAAATTATCGACTTCATATACAGGGTTATAGGTTAAGTCGACCTAAATCCTTTAAGAGGTGGTAGTTGCCATCATTCTTGACTGATTTGACTATGGAACCCACTACCCCAAACTTAACCGTCTCAAGTTATGGGACTTAGAAGATTTTTTGTCTATTGTCCCCTTTTTTTTGTGTTTTGTACCTCTGTGTTTTTGTTATTTTATTTTTTGTGTAGCAGATTAGTTGTTCCATTATTTTAAACACAAATATATACGTAATTATGCAGGTTGTGGATCTCGTCTATTTGAATCTCTCAAAATGGGAAGACCTGATGGAGAGCTACCCAGAAGTCAAACGTACCCTTTGTAGTGTCCTCAAGCCAAAGAAAACAGATTTTCCCAAAAATGTGTACGTGTCTGATAATTTTCATTTGTAGGATATTATAATAATTGAACAAAGTAACTGCTCCCGCGCAGTTTCACCCGTTCTAGTTGGTTTCTAATGATTGAAGCTTGATGTTTTATAGCCTACAGAGTTTCTCGATAAATGGGCTATCCAACATAGAAATAATTATTCAAACCAGCAGTTTTGTAGATTAGCGCGTCCCAACAAACTCTTCGGTTTTATTTAATAAAAAAGTATAACATTGAAAAACGTTACTATGTTATGACATATAAAACTATGTTTTCAGGGCCTGATTACCACTCCATTGACTTCATGGAAAACACAAGAAGATGGTTTTCGACATTAATATTTAATTTTATTACTAGTTATTAATAATAGCTATTACTAGGAATTTTATTATAAGTACACTAAAATATGGATATACGATGAAAGAGTAGATGACTAATTTTTGTTTTAATGTCCTTCTGGTAGATTATTTAAAAACATTCGACACTTATTTTTTATTTTCTTACTGAATTAAATACTTTCTAGGAAGTATTAATTTCATACATTGATTTGAAATATCACGTAACGTCACTTCTAGGTACGTTTTCTATGACGTATTTTTTTTAAGGTGGAAAAATCATCGAATGACCGCTCCCGCCTGGGTGAGGCGGGAGGGAGTTTAGACTCATACTGACTAAAAACCACTCCGTTCCTTCTTCTGCGTAACCCGTTAGGTCACCGCGACTTTATATGACAGATAAATGACGTTTTAGCTCATACTCATAAACTTTGATTCGTTTTATCTTATTATTATTTTCATGACAGGGTATGAAAATTAAAAAATATAATTAGTCCGTAAGTTAGATAATCAAAAAATATTAGACACGTCTTTTTTTATTTTTTCGTATAATAAAACAGTACTTAGATAAAATGAATCAAAGTTTAGGAGTGGGGGCTAAAACGTCATTTCTACGTATAAAATGTACATAGAAGTCACGTCACGCGACAGTTCAAATTAATATATCGCTAAAAGTATTCGTTTCTGTAAGAAAATAATATACTTGCCTAATGATTTAAAATGATCTACCAGACGGACATTAAAATGAAAATTGGGCATATACCCTATTTTCGCCACTAAAGTAAATGTTTGTTACCTAAATTTAATTCCTTAACTTATTATAGTATGATGTATTACTATTTAATTTTGTCTCTTAATATAAATATGATAGAATAACTGAAGCTTGTTTCATTTAAAAGGTTCGGGTTTAAAAATAACAATTACCTAACTGACCATATTTGTGTACTTATAACAGGCTCAGAGAGCATAAACTCTGTTCTCTATCGGGAGAATAGACTCACAATATGCAGAGTAAAAACTATAACTGCAAAATCAGAAACATTTATTTCACTTCATGAGAAGTCAAAATACATTCTATATTTGAAAGCGTGTCTCTTGTCACAACAAATGTGTTTGATAATCAAGCGGAGTATAATGTTGTTGATAAAATAATAATTATTACTAACATGCCTTTGAGGAAGAGTGAAGTTTCTACTGATGATCCTGTAAAACAGGCGTCCAGTTCCATAGACAAAATAACTGCAATAAGCAAAATGCTTGAGACTAAAACAGTAACTCAGGAAGATAGTAAGATAGAATGGTCCAACCTTATATTTTTACCATTCCACCCAGTTTTCCAGCTGTTCGTACTTTTTAGTGTTTTCGTAAAGGTTCTACTGGTAAGGAATATTTTTAACTGCTTATTACCATTGCCCCACTTATAATATTACAAGAATAATATAAGTACGAAAAAAAAGGAATAACGGTGTTTAAGTGGTATTAAGACTGGTGCAGATGATAGACCCAATAGTCATTGTAGGACGAACATCTTCGAAGTTGCATGAAAAAGAAGTTGTAGACAAAATAATATATTTGAATTGAGTGTAAAATAGTGATGAAAAAATACTTCTATTTTCCAGGGCCCCATACAATCGGTGTATCCGATCGTGTACTGCGGTGACGTGATGGATTCTACGGCAGTCCTGTTGTTCATAAAATATTGTTACTGGTATTTTTGCGATGCTTTCTATGGGATCGACACTTTTCTTCATATTGTGCATCGGTAAGAGAGATTACGCATAATTTTACTTTGTACGAAATCATTATTCCGTTTTATTTTTTCCAGACAAGTCACCGACCAAGCAATGCGACGTGAACATTTACCAAAGTCTGCAGGATTGTTAATAGTTGATATAATATCTTTAATTCCTTTCTTGCGTTTGGTTATGCCAAATCCCTGTCCAGTTCCACGCTTATGGCCAAACATATTGGCATTTAATGAATTTCTTGTGTGAGTATCATTAAATTTTTACTATACCAAACCCTTATCATACACATACACATACATTTAGCATTTCACACAAGTTTTCTGAGAACGATTTTTCAATATAACATGCATCCAGATCCAAATCTGCCGAATGATGAACGAAATGAATGATTTTTTTTTCATTTTTTTTTCAGTATTTATAGAATAACAGAATACTTTTCACTGGTCACCACGCATTCGTACTTTAACCTTTTAGTCGGCTATTCCTTAACCCTATGCATGACATTGAATTGCATTGCTTGCTTCTGGTTACTTCTTACTGAAGAAGGGTTTTGTAAGCATTGTACAGGGATTGGAAACTACTACGACTGGCGAGCTTATGTTAAATATAAGGTTATTTTGATTTTCTTTAAATATTGCTGCTAGGTTTAGGTAATTGTCCCCCAATTATTTTGATTCGAAATAAATCATTAGTTCTTGCACTGAGCCACCATATCGTAGGTATCTGTATCAATTGGATTTAACGTGCAACCTTGTAAACGGTTGATTTGATTGATTGCTTTTCTTTTAAATGATGAACGAATAAGATCGTAAATACGTTTAAAAGCCTTGCCACTGATAGATAATAAAATTTGTTTATTTCAGCTCAATGAAACGGATGTGGGATACACTACATACGTCTACGCATACTCATTTGTATTTTCATTCACTCAAAATGCTTTCTTTGATAATGAAACTAAACCCTCTGCAATATTAGAATTTGTAATAGTTTGCATGTTTTTAATATGCGCTTATATTTTAAATCATTTTATTGTAATGCCGAAATTCTTTGCTGAATCACTATTTAGACTGCGAAGAGTTTGCACTAAATATTCAGTCACTAGGAAAATTATAGAAGAGACTAGGAGGAGAAATCCGACGACGAATGCACATAAAGAAGTGGAAACTTTCTATAAAATCATCTGGAGAAAACGAAGCGGTATTATTCATATGCCTGAGATATTTAAAACGGAAATACCGAGATATTTAAGACTCGAAATTAAACAAGATTTACTTTGGCCCTTATATTACCACAGTCCAATTTTGAGGAAAACGTCATTTCCCCTTCGACGACTAATAAGTGAATGCGTTGAATTATCTTACAGGATGCCTGGGGAAAGATTTTTTGTAGGAGATCATTCTAAAACGTCATTATTTTACCTAAAATCAGGAATAGTTCAACTTATTTCAGCGGATGACGGAATTACTCCTATATTTTCTGTTACAAGTGGCACCATCTTCGGGGATATAAATTTTTATGTACCTAACTATGATAGAAAAGTTGCATGTCAATGTCTCACGTATTGTGAAATATATGTCGTTCAACGAAAATATCTTATACAAGCTTTACACAAATATCCACTTGATAGATTAGTTGTCATGGATGCTGTAAGAGATCGATTAAATCATGCAAAGAAATTGTTCAATAGTAAGAAGTATATAAGAGGACTGGACAGAAATGATGACGAAGGAATAGCTTGGATTAACAGACGTTGGTGGGAGATATATGAAGCTTTTGAAAAAGTAATGGAACAAACTGGATTTTCTAGAGAACAAGTCAGATGTGATTTACCACGTGAGGAAACAATATACCACTGCGCGAAATATTTAGGGCAACTGGTACTTTGCACTCCAACTGAACTCCAGACTAAATCTATGTTCACTAATGTCTCGTTCCCATGGATTATGAACCCGATATCTAAATTTGGTTTTGTTTGGCACCGAATTGTTTTCATAACTGTAATGATGGTGCTATGTGTCTTTCCACCAAATTTAATAAAACGTGAAATTCCTTCGTGGTTTACGTTTTTTACATTATACACCGATACTATATATGGGATAGATATTGCAGTCTCTTTATTTACAGCAGTAAGAACAGAAGATTCGGTTACAAGTACTTTCTCTACAGTATTGTTTGAACGATTCAAGAGCTTTACTTTTATTTTGGATATCTTGTCATCAATTTGGTTAGAAGATTTAGCTTTTATCGTTGGAGCACCACAGTACTACTACACATTCCAATTTAACAGACTAATTAAAATATATGTGCTCTTTTATGATATTTATTTAAAATGGGATATTAGAAGAAATCCTTTGGTGGACGTATGTCGGAATCTATTGTTAATTAATTTTACGTATATAGTGCTGACAAGCCACATTATGTTTGAGCTGACAAATTACATGCCTCAGTTAACAGTAACTTATTTTTTTGGAGAAGTTTTGTGTTCCAGAACCGTTAAGGTCGATTGCGTTGAAATCAATCCAGTAACTGGAGTCACTATGAATTGGGCATTTGAATGGATGTTTTGTGAATATGTGGCGATGAACTTATCGGACACATATATTGGGATAGTAATCTCATATTTTTGTTACCTTATATTCGTATATTGTAGAAGTACACTCGTTGCTTATATGTATTTGGAAAGTAGAGTTTTGTCAAGTTACCGAAGATTTGTTTCTAATCTTAAGAAATATTACGAGCACTATAGTATTCACGTTGATTTACTCAGGAGGCTTGATAGATATTTCATTTGCCATTGGAAGTATTATCAGGGTCAGGATGTAATTTCATCGAATGCTATGTTGGAAGAACCAACTGAGATATATTGGAAAGCTCAAGGTGAAGTGGCGCAGCGAATAATATCAAAATCAATAACTTTTACTCACGCTGATCCCAGCCTAATCAGAGAATTAGCGTGTATGGCCAGATTTTTAGTTCTACCTAAAAATGCTATAATATTTATGTTTGGAACGCAAGTTAAAAATGTTACTTGGATTGTTCAGGTAATATTTAACATATTTGAATAATTAAAAACCTATGTATATAATTCAACTTCACTAAGTCTCGTTCCTCTTGATTATCGTATTTTATTTTAGGGTTTTGTCAAAGTGGAGTCTCATGATGAGAAAGGTGAAATAGTTGAAACTTTCTATGGTCCCGGTACTTTATTATCAATTGCTGCTGTATACTTTGGCAAAGAATCAGTTAGATCATACACTGCGTATACTGATTGTGAGGCAAGTAAAATTAATACATTGTTCATTTACTTTCTATGAGTACAGACCTATAAATTTGCTTGTTAGAGATAGAATTTCGACCTATTTTATTTGGAGCTTATTTGTTATATTAAGTCATATTATGTCATGTGTATCTACATTTTCTTTTTTTAGACGATATACATACCAATAAATAAATTTTATGATATCTACAAAAAATATACATTGGAATATGAATATTTGCAAAATTGTGTTAAAGAATTCACACCAATGGTTGACGAAATGTTTAGAAATTATTTGTTGCATCGGAGAGATGTAAGAAAACCATAATTATAATAAAGTTTTACACTAATTATTTTCTCAAAGTAAAAGTGAATTTATCCAATTTTTCAGTATCAACAAAAATTAAGAGACAAAATTAATAGTACAAGAATGTCAATGATATCGACGGCAAAAGTGATTCCTGAATTACAAAAAAATCGTTCGTTGCCATTCGAAGGTGATTTCTGGGGAGATCCGGAATCTGCGTAAGATCTTTGATTTGCATTGCATAACTAATTTGTGAGTATGAGTCCATATGACTCCGGGCTAAGTACTACGAAAGAATTTTCGGAACCGGAAAATTCATTATTTTGCCATATTACTTAATTTTACCATGTCACTTTTGAATTGATCAAGTCTTATAAATAACAAAAGTAGATACTTGAGTTAGGACTGTCTCGCAATTTCCTATAAGATATTTAATTTTGTAAACAATGACTGCAGTGATAAGAGTTAATAAAGATATAATTAACATAGTTCTTTTTATTGAGTAACTAAGCTGGTAAACGGGCATACGGTGATCCGTATCAAGTGATTTTGACGGTAAGCAATCGGCGTCGCCTGAAAGACCAGAGGCGTTACAAGTGCGTTACCGGCCTCCGATTGAGCCGGCCGGCTCATTCGTGCAGAAAGCATGTCTGTCCCACACTTAATACTTTACTCTATATTATGTCTTAAAAACATTTACAGATTTATGCAAACATGGCTGATGTTCCGAACTGTTGTCGTATATGTCTCTATCTCGTCTGCTGCTGTCTTAGGTAAGCAGGCAAACGTTTATTACTTACCTATTTACATATATTTATTAAAAATTAATCGGAAATCTACATAGTTTAACTATTTAAGGTGGTATTGGAGCTGTATCGCGATGGGTGTTTACAATGATCAGCGCGTTCTGTGATTGCATCGGCTGGATAGATATTATCCTAAAATTATTCGTAAGATCTTATACTATGAATGTCACTTTTTTGATTTTTGATTTGTGAAGTTAATTTCGTATGTCTTCATTACAGCTCGCATATCACGATGATCGTGGTATAATAATAACAAATACAAAGAAATGTCTAATAAATTATTTATCCAAAGCATTTATTTTGGATCTTATCGGTGTTATTCCTGTGTATGAAGTTTTAAAGGCTTTACTATCGGCGGATATTGATGATGATACAAGCTTCCTAATAAATACTGTGTGCAAATTTGCGCATATTTACATTTTATTTGCGTATTTTCAATATATTAGTGATCTTCCGACGGTGAACGGCACTTTGATTAATGTACGTATGGTTATGGACTCAAAGCGATTGTAAATAGGTTTTAATTTTGTTTATTCTATAAAATTGTTTCAAAACAGTTTAAAATTAGATTATTAAAAATCATTTAATATTTTAGTTTCACATACAATGTTCTAATATGCAACATGTCTTCAATCTCCAGATAGTAAAATGGCAATTAGTGAACAGTCTTCTAGTACTAGGTGCAAGTCATTATTTCATGGTTGTTTGTGTAAAATACGAATTTAATGAAAGAAATATGGAATTGCTTTCTGTCACTCTTCGTGATACTTGCTGGATGCCCGATGTTATGACGATGCCTTTCAATTTGAGTTGGAATGATTTGCATTTGGTAAGTGATGTTGTTAAGATTCAACTGCAGCGTCATTATTGTTTTTATCTGCCTTGCAAGGGTATTTTATTGCGTCACCACAGATGGAGCCCAATAGGTCTGATGCCGATACGGAGCCGCGGAGAATTTAACAGCTTACCGAGGCTCCGGTAGTGCACGTGCAGGAGTAGGAACCGGGTGCATTTTAGTCACTAAGAGTCTGACACTCCCTCCCGCCTCACCCGGGCGGGAGAATTCATAGAATGATTTTCCCCCCTCAAAAAAAGATCTTTTATTGCTTAAAGGGATCATGTTAAAATGTAATGACAATTTCGTTTTCTCAAACGCTTCACGTTGATAACAATAATTTTTAACCTAATCAAATTGAAATGATCACACAGATATTCGCAGAAAGTTTGAGTCTTGCTGAAAATGGTATGATGGGATTCAATTATGGAAGATTCCTAGTTGACAACAGAAATATAGGAGTTGGACTCTGTTTATTCGTGATCGGGTTTATATTTTGGTAAGTGCTGGAGTGATGATATCCGTAAGGTGGTTGGCAGTGGTTGGGTCCAAGAGCTGAAAATTGATCTTAGTGGTGTGCTATTGGAGAACCCGTGCAGCTGTGGATAGAAACGAGTTAATGATAGTGAAGTACCCGTATGCCTTTTTAGCATTTCTGAAAGACTAAATATATAATATTATACTTACTACGGTGGCTAAGTTAGCCTATTTTAATAATAAAGCCTTCATTTCCGAACTTTTTTGACATTTAGACAGACAAATTAAAAACCAATTCCGATGTAAGCCATTCTGTTACAAAAAGTCTCTCAGCTCAAACTCTTTCCATTGTCTTCGATCAGCCGCCACTCTGATCCAGAGAAGTCCTATTTAAAGTCATTTTTAGGTCATCCTACCCACGGAATATAGAATACAATGGAAGTAGCTTGAAACAATATTTCTGCCAGAACCGGTGTCGCCAAACTAACACATTTATAATTTACTCATACTATAAATCGGAAGTTACGATTGGTTAGAAAAAAAATGGGCGTAAACGAAATGCAAAAAAAATATCATACGATATGCAACTTTAAAGTCAATGTAATATAAATCAAAATAAAAAAGTATATTTTGGACTACCAAGTACCGCTATTCGTCGCTAGATGGCGTTCAACATCGCCATCTAGCGACGAAAAGTGGTACTTGGTTTGAACTTTAACGTCGTAAGAATAAAGGTGATATTTGAATGGCTTATCACTGGCTCGAATGCGGGTCTCTACTCAGATAGTGATGTAGCCTAATTCGATAAAAATAATATCGATAATATGAAAATGTGTTCAAAAAATAATGTGAAAAAAATATTGACTGCGATAGTGTGACAGTATTAAAATAATGTAATTAATATATCGTTGATAACGTTTTAAACGTAACAAAAAAGGGTAAGTATTTATTTACATGTAAATCAAAAACCATTTTGAGCATATTTTTTTTTCAAAAAATCATTTTTTTTATTTCACATAGGCAATATAAGTAACAATTATTACATAATTTTTTACAAACTTTATATGGATAATGTGATAAATGAGAGGGATGGCGATAAGGATGACGGTGCTGATCTGCGCCGTGAAGTGAAGGTTGCTTCGAATCACGTCGGGGTCACCACTAAAATAATATAAAAAAATAATCTAAATAAATGTTACATTACACTTACATCGATATCAATCGATAAATTCAATATGTGATTTGACTACATCACTATTTGAGTAGCGTAGAACTGGCGAGAATGTTCTATTGAATGGAATAAATCCAAAATAAACTTTATCTTGAAGGCGTAAGGTTGATTTTGACAAAATAACATTATTTTAATAACCGTTTTTGTAAATTGAAATAAAATAAGATTTCTACAAGAAAACAATGAAAATTGTACTTACCGATGATACAAAACACCTCCATTTTTACGATTTTTCGGCTGCTATCATTTTTACACGCCAAAACGGAACAAAACGGCATAGTTGAGGAAAGATATATTTGACACGAGACTAGCAACTCGACGCGATGTTCGAACGAGACTGAACTCGAATTTGCCTCGAGTAAGCAGTACACTGCTTAGTCGTGGCACGCGTGCCACGCCTACTTGCTACTTCCATTGTATTCTATATTCCGTGATCCTACCATCTTCTCTTATTACAAACTCGGCTCCTAGTGCCGTCCCTTGGATACCATATAGTCACTTAAGTTTTATTATGAAGAATGAAAAAAAAAATTCAGTAAGAAATTGTAGTTAATTAAGATTGTTAATACGTTAAACGCCATGGGGGTCACTTGTGACCGGCGTTAGTGGACGTAAATCCTACGCTCCTTCAACATTTTTTTATTGGCAGCCAAAGTCTTAATCAAGTTTTTTGGAGTAAACATATTATAATAGAAATATAATTATATAAATACAAATATTTTATTTAAGGTTCATATCATGTCACGCTTTGACCCTCTTAGTGTTGGACGCACGTGGAGACTTTTTATTTCAACATGCCGTTAACCAACTCGACAGGTTTCTTACATCTGAAAGAGTTGATGAAACCATTATCCAGAAAGCTATGCAACATTTTAGATATTGTTGGGTAAGGTGAGTAAGGCATACCTAACTACATCGAGTTTTCTTATTTTCCAATGTATTACAAAGGTTCACTTATTATCTAGTGTTATGAAACTCATGTTATAGAAAGACTGCCTCGTTGGCCGTGTGGTCGCAAGTGCGACTGCCGGGCACGAGGCGTCGAGTTCGATTTCGGGGTTGGGTTAAGTACTACAGGGTTTAAAAAAAAATCGCAGTAGTAGCACGGAGTCTGGAAATGTGCCCGGTACATGGCAATAGGCTCACCCCTTATTACATGGGACTCATTGTATAAATAGTGAAAAGTGAGTGGCCTCAATGTCACAATATAACGCTCACTTTCTGCCCCTTCACGGGATGTTATGTTGTTATAAAAAGATTATTGAAGATCTATTCTCAAATCGATCACGAAAGCCAAGTCTGGCTTTCAACCGTAGGGATTGCTCTAATAAAGCAATAGTAGTTCCTAGTTATTAACTTGATGTGTGTCGTTTTCAGAACAAAGGGCATTCATATGAATAAACTAACAAATGAAGGCATTGGTGTTGTGTTTCGACAGGACCTAAACTACTTCTTCTATAAAAAGTAGGTTGTTAAGTGAAGTTTATAATAGAGTGAATTATACAAAATTTTCGCAAAAATTTGATGCCTAATTTTGGCAAAAAGGAAAATGATAATATTCGATCATAGGTATACGACTAGAATAAAGCCTAAAAGCCAGAAAAATGTTATAGTATACCTACCTAATATCACGGACGGTTTTTTTCAGAAAGACCTTTTTATAATAACAATAATAACAAATAATATAAATTGCCTTTTCCCCAGGACCTTCAGTATTTTGGATACTATAATCAAAGGCGGTGAGGCGATGCAGAGACAGTTGGCTAGCGTCAGTACACAAGCGTTCTTCCTAGGAGGACATGACATTATCAGGGAAAACGATCTCGTAACTTACTTGTGTGTTGTACATCGTGGGAAAGTCATATTAACAAAGAAGAATAGGAAACTGATTGTTCTTACAAAGGTATTTATGTTATTTTCTCTACGGTAGCATAATTGTTTAATCAACGACATTCACCAGGGCCGGTTCGACCGGAGTGATACCACGGCCTTACAGAAACTGACGTGAACCTTTATTTGTGTTGTGTTTCATCGTGTGAGAAAGGTTATCGGAGGCCCAATCCCCCCCCCCCTCCACAATTTCTCCAATCCTTGAAAAGACCGGTAACGCACTTGTGACACCACTGGTGTTTCGAGTGTCTATGCATGATGCCGAATGCTTACCATCAGGTGATCCGTCTGCTCGTTTAACGGCTTATTCCATAAAAAAATAATTTGGACTTAAAAGTTTTTATTTGTACCATACACATTAACGCCTTCATTTACCTTAAACTCTGCTGGCAAGGTAAGAAGCCTTAACATTGCACATCTTACAAAACTCCTTATTATTTGTTAGGGTGATATATTTGGTCAGCTACTAGGCACAAGGAAGCGACCTATACGTGTGACGGCAACGGCTGAAGACAAAGTCGATGTTCTGTATATTGAGATAGACGCGTTTCAAAGCATTATCACTGAGGAGGTGAGTCCTAGACGACAAGATATCAAATTATATAATGCTTCATAGTTATATTCGAAGGTCTTGTTGGTCGAGTGATCCCAAGCGCCATTAACAATCAAAGGTCGAAGAGGTTTGATTCTTCAGTTCAGATAAAGCTTAAATAACATTATTTGCTCATAGTCCTTGCCACGAATAAACTCATTCACTAATTACATAGCTTATTAAAAGTGGGTATTAGATTTTAAGCCCACGTGCATTTCGTAGCCCTTAGGGAATTAAATAGAGCTAAGTTCATAGTTAAATATAATTCAAGTTTTGGTTTTACAATATTTTAGGTGCGACGTACAATTATGCGGAATCCGCAACAAAAGAACGATTTTCTGGCTACAAAGTACGTAACTCTTGAGAATCCATATGACACAGTTAAATACCTTTTACGCGGACGGAAGACGATTAAACTACCGGTAAAAATATTTCAACTTATTTTGTAGTAAAAACTGATCTTCATTTTATATGTTCATATTGGGGCTTACCGTATATTTGCTCACCAGATGGCACTAGTGTGCTCTCTCATTCTCAGTCCAATAGGGAATTATCTAGTGTCATTCCATTGGTCGTTCAATATTTGTCAGCTGCAGTGATTTGACAAAAAAGTCATTCCTACATTTGCACCAACTGGTGAGCAAAACAATGTTAGCTCCCATTATGAATGAATTGAAAGTCATCGGGAGAGTCCAATATGCTGTAGTGGACGTCTTGCGACTTGTGGCTACAGTTTTGTTTTTTTTAAACGATGCCCCCACTTGGATTTTCTCCTGTATCGTGGGTTACGAAGATGATGATTCGATAGCCGACAAACGCAATAAATAAGAAAGACTGCTTAGATACTGACAATTCAGACGTCTAGTTCTAGTTCATCCACAATGAACATATGAATTTTATGTTATAAACGTCAATACACTACAATATCTTTATAAATCTAAAGGTGAGTTCTTTGTTGCAGTGGAACGATTTCCCAATCGAAGTTAACAGTAGCACATGGTACTCACATTTCTTGCACCTCACTTGGTTTGTCGGCCCCTTCATCACCACCGTTTGTGTCAATTCGTTCGTCGTCCTACCAACTGGACACAACTTTGAGTACAGAGTTTATATTATACTCTTTATATGCGACGTGATTCATCTGGCGAACTTCATTGCTGATTTTTATTCCGTAAGTATTTTTGTATCTTATGCCGGAATATTGAAACGTTACTCAATTTTAAGTCGTGCTTAAATATCGTGCCGTCTCTGTCATTTTACAAAGAATTTGCAGTGACAGAACTATACTTAAGCGCGACTTAAAATTGAGTAACGTTTCAGTATTCGGGCATTAGTGCTTTTGTTTAAGAGTGTTTGATTTTGAATTATATTTATTCCCATAATAGAAAAAGTTGTTTTTGCCTTCAACGGTATTTGGAACGAATGCTTCTCGCATTTCAATTGATCCCAATGTTTTTTGATTTTGGTCTGGAAATAATAATATTTCGAATAGTAAAATTGGTTGCGCAACGTCACCACTCCACACACGCTGCTTATTAAAAACAGTCCCGTAGTGATTTAAAACTAGTAGAGCTTATCTCAAATATTTGACGTGATTTAACCATTATTTTTAATTAAGTCCATTATGCAATTTTATCCATTATGCAATTTGCTCGCAGATCGAGTTAGTTGTAGTACAAAATAAATGTCAACATCAGAGAGTTGGTTGGAAGAAACTGAAAGACTGGGCCCTGTATCTGGACCTACTCAGTTTTTTGATTCCACTTGGTACAGTCTTCCACAATGATTGGAGATACCAGTACGCGAGGATGTTGCGGTTGAAATATTTCTTCGACTACGAATATCATTTCTGTAGAGGTTTCAAGGTAATAATAATAATTATTAGATTCTATCACATTAAGCTAGGCTTTAGTGTCAAAATATGCTATTGTCATTTTCAACTTTGTTGTTTTGTAATACAGTTTTGATTAATTTTAGAGGAGCATGGCGCCAATACTTTTGAAAATAGCGATCTTGGTTTTGGTCATCCATTGCTTCACTTGTGGTTGGGTGTATATCGCTTGCAGACGGAGTAAGTCGTCTATAATATATTATCTACATGTGTAAATATAATTATTTTTGAAGTACCGTATTCGTGTTACCAAATTTGACTACCTGTGCTACCTTTTATATGTTACAGAGGGTAAATTTCCCATTCCTATCAGGGATATGCGTGATATGGTTCGCACTATTGATTTTAGTCAATGGACACATCCTGACGATAGAGGCGAAGGTAAACACCATTACAATATATAATTTACTAAATAATAGCAGCAGTTCACTTAACTGGTTAACAAGTAGTACAGCAGAATGAAGTCCCATAACGATCACAATAACTAAGAAAATAGCCAAACGATACTAGAGTCGTTCCCGATTCTTAGCAATGACTTGAAATCTGTTAATGTTTTTTTATGGCATAAGCCGGTGAATGTACAGATGGATCACCTGATAGTAAGCAATCGGCGTCGCCCATGGCCACCTGGAACACCAGAGTCGTTACAGTTGCCTTTTGGGAATTAGGAGTTTGAGGATCGTTGGGGATTCAGGAATTGGGGAATTCGGGAAGGGGGGAGTAATTGGGCCTCCGGTAACCTCACTCACACGACGAAACACAACGCAAGCATTGCTTCACGTCGGTGTTCTATCACTCCGGTCAAGTCGGCCCATTCGTGCCGAAGCATGGATCTCCCACACTTAAACTTCCACATAAAAAAATATCCATGTATTACCTATTATGCTGACTCTAAATAACTTGGGATAATTGCAATCCTTTTGTTATTATTATCATCTCCAATATTAATAGTTGCGTTATTTATCAGGTTGTGCGCGAGTCACCAAAGATATTCGAGATGAGGAAGACCCAGCTGTGTTTATTCCTACGTTCGTAGTCCCCAAGTATTGGCCCTATGATTACATCATAGCTTTGACGTATATTCTACTAATACATACTCACACCAATATTGATACTGTAAGTGGCTGCAATGTGCATATTTCATTAAGCTTAACACATGTCAGTCGAAGTTCATTAAATAAAAAGATATTCAATATAAGTGGAGTGGGTTTCCCGATGTTGCTGATGAATGTGTTTTCTTTCACCCATACCTAAGAATGGTAAACAAGACAAAAAAATATTCAATTTGCTCCAGTAGTTTTGGAACTTATGTGTGTGCAGATGTGTCTGCAATTCATTTCTATTTATCTATACCTATAGATCTATTTAAGTCCTCATATTAGTCTTTACTAACTATTAATTAACACAATTCTATATATCTTTATAGATAATACCACTATCAATAAACGAAGTATACTACAAAGTATTTACTACGTTCATTCTACAACTATTAGATATCTACATAATGGCTCTCGCTATAAATGCCGCATATACTAAGTATCGAGAACTGTATCGGTATAATTTTTCTATCAAAAATATGCTTATTTATTTGACTGACTCGGGACTAAGTAGATCTTTGTCGGATAATGTTTGGGCTTATACTGTGCAACTGTGGAAAAGACAGAAAGGTAAGTTTTGGCATCTCTAAATGCTCAGCACATCTTATATTTATCACAATCGTTTATATTTGCATAATGTCATTCATAGCTATCACTCTTAAGGCCGAAACACATAACCACGTTGCATCTCCGCAACGCTAAAATCGGCAGTTTGCGTTGCGGTGCGTTGCGGGGTTGCGGCGTCGTGAAAAAGTTTTGTAGTCATTCGGTAGGGTAACCAGTTCGTCGTGATTTTTTATTGTGGATAGACGTGTCTCTGCCTTGGACCATGTGTTATTAAAAAGACATTACCCTGCTATGCTGGAACGAGCGCTGTGCGCAGCAGTGACGCAAACTACCGATTTTAACGTTGCGGCGCCGTGCCGCTTAAATCGGCAGTGACACAAACTGCCGATTTTAGCGTTGCGGCGACGCAACGCGGTTATGTTTGACAACAATTTCTGCATTTAAAATAATATTCTTTGTGGGTGCGTTGATCCATCCTGGAATATTTCTAATGAATCTTTTGAGATGACAAGTATCCATACTATCAATGCGCAAATAATCTAGTAACATTTCTTTTTTATATTTGATGGGCCGACGTTTGACCACTACCTCGCCTGGTGGTAAGCGATGATGCGGTCTACGATGGAGCACGTCGACCCATATGCGACCTATTCACTCGGGCCTTGAACACCCTTACATAACATTACAAAATTCTAAATAAATCTCCTTTTAGTCAAGATAACCATCGATTACGATTTCCTTCAATTTGTGATTGTTTAAATTTGTTTTCATTTCTATTGATTTTATTATTTGAAAATATTTTAAGACATTTAGTTTCTGTATTTTCAGGTGATAAGCTACCAGACCTAGCTTACCAGTGTCCCCCATGTTTACGTCAAGATCTGTTTTCTGCACTTTACATACATCACCTTGATGCTACTCCAACATTTCGCATATTGCCTGACTATTTCAAAAAGCAACTGGCTGCGAGGTTGCAAAGAACGGTCATATTTCCTGGTGAGTCTTGAATTTTATATCCAAGTTGTTTGGCTAAACCATGCAACTTAAGTTTGTTGGTTTGATACCTGGACTATGTCGATGATAATTTTTCTTTGTTGCATCATAATGTCTATGAACTGATCATTATTATCACATTTCCTTGAACATGAGTTGAAGGAAATGTGATAATAATTATTTTGGTAATGGTTTTCATAAATTTACATCTTGAACTCTGAAAAGATAGTTATCAAATAGTGGACGTTGCTCAATAATGAAATGGGTTTTATTAAAGACTAGCTGCTGCCCGCGACTTCGAACTCGTAGAATATGAATTTTAGGACTTAATTTTTGTTTCTATTTTCCAAAATAAAAGTAGCCTTTGTTACTCCTTGGTACATCAGCTATCAGCCAATAAAAGTCCCGTCAAAATCAGTCCAGCCATTCCAGAGATTAATCAGTACAAATAGATAGACAGACATATTTATTTATTTCCAATTTTATTTATCTGTACAGATGTATAAGTAGATAATGTTCTCGGAGTACCTTAAATATAAGGATCAGAAATAATATTAATTAATTTGTTATTTTCAGGGAAATGCATTGTAAGAGAAGGAGATACTTTCAACATTACTTACTTCATCCACGAGGGAGAAGTTGAAAAGTGGTACATCGACAAATCGTAAGCGTTTTTTGATGTAGTAACTTAGATTTAAAATAGTTGCAGCTACGAATTCAGAGATAGAGTGTATGTGTATTTGTGTGTGAGAGAGAGAGAGAAAGAGAGAGAGACAGCGAAAGAGAGAGAGAAAGAGATAGAGAGAGAGAGAGAGAGAGAGAGAGAGAGAGAGAGGTGAGGGAGAGGGATTGCAATTACTTTGTCGTTTTAAACCATGGATACACTAGGGGACAAATATCGCACGACGTGTATCGGCGACATGTCAAGCGAAGCTAGTCGATCAATCACCTGACATATATGGCGACAACGCGTGACTCATGTCCACTGCGTGTTGCCAGGCATGTCGACCAAAGTCCGGCAACGTCGCGCTACTTCACCTAACGTTGCTAACGACACGTGTCGCAGGACATTTGTCTCCTTGGCTTTATTTTAAACATTACAATGTTTCGTGTGTGTATATTTGTAATCACATATATTAGGCATATCCTTATCATTTCCAGCGGTGAAAATAAGCTAATGTCAGTTCTATATACAAATGGATATTTTGGCTGTATGTCGGGTTTGTTCGTCAATGTCGGATTCCATTTCACTTACTACTCGCGAACTGTAAGTATTCCGCAAACTTAAGGGACACTGTCCACATTACGTCATTTGACATATGCATGCATCCTTTTCAAACAATAGGCGTTTTACAAATAAATGACAAATGCTGCCTAAAGTGGGTACTTGCTCCGATCAAAAATAAATTACCTATTTCGGCTGTTCAATGATATAATAAAAATAATCACACTTTCATTCATTGATTTTAGGACCAACTTAATTTTAGTATTTCTCCAGCATTTTTTTATGAAATAAGTATGCTGTTTGACGCTGAAAGAGCATTCTGCTCATGGTGAAGAGCCCCCCTGTGACTCGAAACTAGTAGAGCTTTCTCTTAGTATTTTTACTAGAGTAACCCGCGATTTTTAGTCAATTTTATATGTCTCACGCAAACACAAACAAACACTTTCCTCTTGCTGAGAAACAATTAAAACTGTCAACGAAGCCGCAACCTTAAGCCTATTGCTTGTGATGGATGCATTGCATGCATTCTTTGAATGGCACAACGTGGGAGTCACCATAATTATATTTTATGTAGTCACTTATTACACTGACCAAACAATACCTACTTGAAATCAATGAACAAGAAAATCCTTTTTTATTAAGGGCGTATTTCAAAATGCTTGAGTTATTTAATTTGATGTATAATTAATTCCATGTGAAATGAACGTGTGAGATATATCTCAATTTTCATTACCTTTTCCACAGGTGGTGGATTTAGTTTATTTAGATCTAGATAAATGGCTAGATTTATTGACTTCCTACCCAGACATAAAAGCTAAGCTTTATGAAGCTACTAGAAATATGAAGAAAGATCATACCAAGAAAAAATAATATATTTGATACTTATTACTTATGTCATAACAAAACATCACGCCTATTTTCCCCGAAGGGCTAGGCAGAGGTGCACATTACGTCACTTAATGCCACTGTACAATGTAACACCCACGTTTCACTGTTTATGTTAGGAGTCCCATGTAATAGGGGATTAGCCTATTGTCATATACCGGGCACATTTCCAGACTACTGAGTTTCTTTTTAAAAACCCGGTAATACTTTGCCCGATTCGGGAATCGAACCCGAGACCCTCTTATTTATATTGATGGGTCGAATCGGCCCCCGGCTGACGTTTGACTACTATCCCGCCTGATGGTAAGCGATGTTGAGGTCTACGATGGAGCACGTCGACCCATAAGCAACCTATTCAATGCGCATATACCTTGCCAGGCAGTCGCACTTACGACCACTCGGCCAACGAGGCAGACAAGTGTGTACTTATTATATTAATTACATTTACTTTTTGACTATAAAGTATGCATCTTACTTATTGAAATTGTTATTTAAGGTTCATTTTGATAGGTAGTATATAAAAAAATGTGCAAGCTGTATACGGTTATATTTTGTACCTAATAATAGTTTTTTTTTGTATCGAAATCGTAATTTATTTGTGATGTTTTAATATTCATAGAATCATGTTATGTGTTTTTTAACTTGATCTAAAATATTTTTAATTTTAGGTGATACTGATTTTGTGCGAACATTGTTTATTATTGAACGTCAAAAATCTATTTGTCTCCATTTTGTACCGTGCTGTAACAGGTTACTATAATTATTTATAATGTAACTTTCGTGAGACATACTCAATTAATTATTATGTTTATTACTCATGTAATTATTTGTCGAGGAACTCGAGTAGTTTCAAGCCATGCTAGACTCATATTCATGAGCAGAATTCTGCAACCCGTGACGCGGCGACTGTCACGCTGAGACGTTATGTCGTACGCATAATGGTATTTTACACTTAGCCGAAAAACACAATATTAATTCTCTAAATAAAAATGTTTTAACTACGTTTTAAAATCGTTTTCTTATAATAAAAGTTTTGTTGAATCAATAATCAGCGGAATTTTTGATACCTACTGCAAATCAGGGCTAAAATCTAGTAGGATTTAAATTGATATAATTATGGAATGTTCTCTACATGTTTTTTTGTTTTTAATTTTATTTGTAATTGTAATTTTGTTTGTAATATTTAAATTAGTTTTAAATTCGTGTTATTTTAATTTTAATTTAATGTCCATTTTTGTAATAAGCATGGTTGTAACTACAATGAAAATCTTTTATTTTTAAATTTTACTTAATTTGTTTTATGGAATAGTAGGTAAACGAGCAGACAGCTCAACTGGATGATAAACGATCAGCGCCGCCCATGGACACACCCGCAACACTAAAGGAGTCGCCGTCACTGTTATCTGCACTCATAACAGAGATAACACAAATCTACAGTATAATTAAAAAACTTTCAATAAACCAAACAAAAAACATCCTAATAACACAAGTAACTAAAACCATTCACAAAACAAAATTACCAGGGCAGCATACCAGTGTAATACAAGTTCTAAATGTTTTATCATACTCAAGTCTGTCGCATACACACTCCACTGAACAAATTGTGTGTTACTCCACGTTTATTTTACGTTTCCAACAGTAACATGCTCTCACTACCTTTGTATTTGCCCAGATTTAAACTTGAAACAAAATATTTCTACCCTCTCTAAAAAGTGGCAGCATTTTGTTCATATTTTTCTGGTTGGAAATTGTTATAATGTATCTTTTAGAATAAAACTTGAGGTAACTTCTTGGGAATGAGTTGGTGTACCCAGTTTATTTTCGTTTCAAATATTTTTTATGCGACTTTACATGCGGTTTGATTTTACATATTTGTATTTCCATTATTGTAAGTTACATACATAACACCACGCCTTTTATCCCCGAAAGGGTAGGCAGAGGTGTACATTACGGCACTTAATGCCACTGTACAATGTAACACCCACTTTTCACTATTTATGTTATGAGTCCCATTGCTATATACTGGGCACAATTCTAGACTCCGTGCTACTACTGAGATTTTTTGAAAAAACCCAGTAATACTTTGCCCGACCCGGGAATCGAACTCGAGTCCCCTTGCCCGGCAGTCGCAATTGCGACCACTCGGTCAACGAGACATGATAGGGATGATGACAGGGTATGAAAATAAAAAATCTAATTAGTCCATCAATTAAGTAACGAAAAAATATTAGACACATTTTTTTTTTATTTTGTCGTATAAGAAAACAATACCTTAGATAAAACAAATTAAAGTTTAGGAGTAGCAGGTAGCTACGTCATTTTAGAGTATAAATCGTACTCAAAAGTGACGTCATGAGATATTTCAAATCAATATATCTTCGAAACTATTCGTTTCCGCAAGAAAATCAAAAATCCATGTCTAATATTTTTAAATAATCTATCAGACGAACATTAAAATAAAAAATAGTCATATACCCTCTTGTCTCATTTTCTGTTAATTTCATCTACTTTGCAGATTAGTTCGTATAAGTACCTACTATTTACGATCAAAATACGCATTTTACGCCTAGAAGTAAAATTATCAACTCATTGTGAAATTATGGTCAGGCTATATTTATATCACTTTATTTAATCAGAGGTTAAACCCGACATGACCTTAAAGCAAGTACTAACACGACTGCTAAATGAAATTAATTCCTGCCACATCGTGAAAGGTCATTTTATTATTTCAAGGTGCTAACAATATCTCAGTTGTCGAGCCAGAGGGGAGAGGATCTTCTTAAAAGCAATTCCGCTTTGTGAATTTTTCATCGCATTATGGAAGCCATAAAAGTGGTTGATATATTTTTATTATTACCACGTTATGGCGATGAGGTTAATAAAAGAAATTATTACAATTACAACTTCATTTTATCGTTGAATTAAACGTGTATGAACTTGTCTTGTGGTAATAGGTTTTTTATTTGTAGGATAATTTTCCGATGTTCTTTTGGTAAGTGGGGAATTTTGAAAGTATAATATTTTGTTCTGAATGAAATGGATATAACTTTTATGTGCAGAATTGGAAAATACATATACATTCATAATAACATTAATTTTTTTTTATGGCATAAGCCGGTAAACGAGCAGACGGATCACGTGATGGTAAGCAATCGGCGTCGCCCATGGGCACCTGAAACACCAGAGGCGTTACAAGTGCGTTACCGGCCTTTTGGGGATTAGGAGTTTGAGGATCGTTGGGGATTCAGGAATTGGGGAAATTTGGGAAGGGGAGGGCAAATGGGCCTCCAGTAACGTCACTCATATGACGAAACGCAACGCAAGCGTTGCTCACGTCGGTTTTCTGTGAGGCCGTGGTATCACTCAGGTCGAGCCGGCCAATTCGTGCCGAAGCATGGCTCTCCCACACTTAAAATACATATTCACATAAAATACATTTCAAGCAACAATGTTTATTCTATTACAAGGTTAAAATTACCCTCAACATTCACTATTTGAACTAGGATACTAAATCTCAAAATAACTATGTTTGAATCACGTGTAACTTAGTAAGTAGTTAAAGATTTTACCGAAGCTCTAAACTTTCAGTGCTCTAACTTTATCGTTAGTTTACTACTGGAATTAACACTTGTTTTTCCTCACTCGCGATCGTACTACTGCACTTCTTCTATCTGAGTGTGTTTACATCATGTCTACGCGATGTCTAAAAAGTGTCTACGCGATACCAAAACGCTGTTTACGGGTCATTTAAAAAAAATCATATTGTCACGGTGTCTATGTTTGACCTCTGTTTATTGGGACCAAAGAGTAGCCTACAAATATTACGTACAGAAAAATTATATTGTCATAGACGTATTTGTGTACACATACTTAAATGCGTTATTTAGAAATTCATCTCATTTTTAGTCTGCCATGTATGAAATTGTTGTTGTGTTGCCATGTGCGTAATTAGGTAAATTCGGTCTGTAAAAGTGTTAATGCGTATTGTTCCAAGTTCCAATTAATGATTATCCTCTCAAAAAAAAAATATTTCTGCACAGGAATCTGAGCTTTGTTGAAATGAAGTTCATTTTCACGTAATGCACTGACATACTTCTGATACGTGATGTCAACATGCCCTTAAAACTTCCCTTATAAAGTTCTAATTTGCGTAATAGCTTGTGGCTTTGACTTTGACGTAGTGATAAAAAGCAAAAAAAAAAAAGAAATACCATTCTGTTTTGCCTCTTAGGATCCATATCATCGCCACCCACTGAGAGATTGAGTTATTTGATATTTAATAAAAGATCGAAAGAATTTAATAACTCGTCCGGCGAATATTTTCAACAAGTTTGTAGTACGTCGCTTCTTTAATCATATCTCATTACATCGGCATTTACTAAATTTCGCAAGTAGACGGAGTATTAAATATTTTTATAAGACTTTGGTTTTAATATAAATTCTAGATTGAAGCTTTTTTTAGTGACTGGTCTTGAGTGTCATATTGACGAGATAGAAAATACTTCGTAAGCCCTATTTTTGCCTAAGTTGATTCTTTTTAAGGTTGATTTATGTTATATTGTTATTGCTATTTATTGTTACTAATGCGGAAATTAATATAGATAATTGCGATTGGCTTCGGTTTCTGAATCAGAAAAATAATACAACTGGCAGAAAGTGGACTTAATTTACATTTTAATTTGCAACTTTGACTACCCTGTGATTTATTAGTATTAAATGAAACACACATTCATTTTTAGTTTCTATATTTCGTTCATCTTAAATCAAACTAATGTTGTGTAACCCGATTAAAACCTTTTACTCAAGTGGAGTGGCTTGCAAAATTAAACAAGATTGGAGGTCGGAGGTCTGAGGTTGGTAGAAGACAAAGTACTTGCACCGAGATTGAGTGCAATCCGCCACAGCGAATGTGTGACAGGAGCGAAGTTATAACTACTTAAATTATAGTTGAGCTTGGGATAGAACGTTGGGGCTCAGTTTAGTTT